GTCGGGAAATTGCAAATGAAGGACATTGCCTTAAGTTCCTACTCGAGACGTTTAATCCAACATTCACATTATATCACAATCGTAATCGTTATTTCCAAAAATTCACATCTAACTTTGAATTACCTCTTTATTTTTCTATTTATCCTTTTTCCCATATCAGCAACATTCACGAGTGCGTCGCACGATTACGGGGGCCACGATTCCCGTTCTTTTCTCGTACTACATAATACTATAGGTGTTACGTATGCGCATCTTTCCCGGCGTAGGCTCGCGTGTTCGCACCAGGTGTGCATACCCGCACGGCCGATTTTTCCGTGACCGCCGCAAACGATTCTCTCATTTCGCTCGTCGCTCCGACGACGTAATCACAACGTATGATAATTGTGAGACTCGCGTCACAACAATCCCGCAACTCCGATTCCCTTTCTCGTTCTCTCTCGCTCCTCGCATGTTACGCACATTAAGTCGCGGATTAACACACATCGATATGAGCGTAACTTTCGCGCGTCTCTCTTTATTTCTCTCTTCCTCGCTCTCTCTTTCTCTCTAAAATATAAACTTTATACTTTATATATTGAACTATTTACCGCCGATTTATCTTAAATAGGCGGGTTGCTCTTTAGTACCTATTATTTTATGCATCTTCCTATTTTTCTATATTTTTTATTTTGTACTTTGTATTTTCTTCTGTTTTTATTATATTTTTTACTTTTTATCTTGTATTTTATATTTAAAATTGAGTGGAAATTTTCCCAGAGCGCACAATAAATTCATCTTTTCATCTCTCTCTCTCTTTTACTTTCTTTTTTGCTTATGAATAAAGCATCAATCTATCTCTTTATCATCATCGATTCTTGACGATAATCAACTGATCCGGAATTCGTATTTGCGGTTTGTTATTTTCCCTTTCTTTCCGGGAGGGAAGGGAATATCTTCAAACCGTTTTCGGTCGCGATTGTTCGTCGCGCAAATCGAGCCGCGTTCTCACTCGGGACTCAACTCGAGGGAACGAAACGAGTCTCTCGATAAATAAATCAGTCCGCGCGAGCGAACGCACGCGTCAGCGTTCACTTTCTCGCGCGCGCGCGCCGAGTAAATCCCCTTGTACGGATGGTTAATGAAACACAATCGAGGTCTCGTAAAAGCGGCGAGACGCGCCGGGCGGCGCGTTAAGCCGCGCAGAACTCCTCATCGCCTAGTTACTCTCGGCATTATGGATCAACGGTGGATAATTAATGCCCGCTCATTCTGATTGCGCTCGCGTTAATTGGTCGCATTCCCGGTAAATCAATCTCGCATTCCCGATCTCTCCTTTCCAGGGCGATTGAGAGTCTCGCCCTGCCCGGGTTTCCCACTCCGGTTACCTAATTTTACGCCGTTACGATACTCCTCCCGCTCTGTGTGTGATCAGACTAATCCGAGTTATTGCTCGTCATTAAACGCGTGTAACGCGCCCACCGTTCGCTGATAATTACGTAACGGCTTCGTTGTTCTCCGGATAACGCGTAATGGGAAGCACGCATACGCTCACGCACGACGCGAGAACGACCGGGGGAAGGGGGGGGGGAGGGGGGCACAGAGTGAGACTATTCGGTAGACGCGCACCCACGCGCAACGCGCGGAATCCGCGCGCATAATCGCACTCGTGCACATGTGCGTTACGCACAAATCGTCGAAAAAGTGGAAACGCGCGCACACACGGGCGTATAATAGCGGCCTCGGTTGCAACCACGGGAGACGATTAAAGGCGGGGCCGCATCGGCGTTGCGCAACGGAAGATGAGGGATAAAGGTTGAGTTTGCAGGCGATTTTGCAGGCTGCACCGTTAGAGCTCTCGCGATTGTGTCGAGTCAACGGTTGGAAAACGTCCGACGAGTTGCTTTTTTTCGATGGAGAAATTTTCCCACGCCAGCTGGAAGCGGCGAACGCGGCGAGCTTTCGATTAGAGCTATCGATTTGAGCTGGGTTTACGGTGTAAGTCTTTAGCCTTTTGCCTTGAGTATTGTAATAAAACGCGCCACGTAATTGCTGGCGAAAGGCGTTTCTTATACTGCCAAAAGTCGTAATAACGGTTAAGTTTTACGCAGAGAAGAAGATTACTTTGCAGATCTCAGCGTCACAGGCGCGCGCTGAGCTTCCATAAAATCTTAAAATTTGTCAGGCCGAGACTCATTAGCCTTTCTAATCGCCCGCATCGCGACTGGACACGCGTATGCATTATGCTTGTTGATTATTCGGACGATCTGTCTTGGCAAGTTTGTAAAAGCGATATCATCATCGTATCGTCGCTATAATCGTATCATGCTGCATCACGTGAGATGGTAATTAAGAATACAGGAATGAAAAACACTGGTGAATTTTGGCCTGCTGAATGTTTAAGACTTTATTGAAGCTCGGTATGTTTCGCTTCTGGATACCCTCGGAATGATTTTGAATTCCCGTGAAAAAGAAGAAGCAAAGAGCCACGGACGAGCTTCTCGGGAGAATTTCGCGTTCTCGACCGTTGTAAAAATTCTCGCGTCGTTTCACCGCTTTCGTAAACTCCACCTTCCGATCCGCGACGTTCGACGTTCGTTTTCTTCCTTCCTCCTCACTTCTTCTTGGCGTACCGCCGCGACTTCCGGCAGAAAAGGAGAAGGAAATGACGAACGGATGACAGCGTGGCCGACGGCCGGTGTATCGATTCGTCGCGGACGGATCGTGCGTTCTCGTTAAACCACCGCGAGCTCAATTATCCCGGCCTCTCCCGGGGCTGCTTATTAATCAATCCGCCTCTGCAATCAGAGGGAAAACGCACGTCGAGAAAGAGCCCGCGGCTCGGACTTCCTCTTGCGCGAGAGGCTCGCTTGTGAAACCCGGCAATGCGTGCCGCTTTTCTCGCGAGCGCGTCTCCTGCGTGCTCGCGTTGCGTGTCCGCGCGCCTTCGGGAAATCGCGGCTCTCCAGATTTTCCCCGAGATCGTCGGTAAAATGGGATCTGCGGACTATGCGATACGGTATTTCCTTCGTGTGAATAGACACTTATACGTACGTGTGTTAAAACAATTCTAATAAGTAATTCATAATATTGAGAATAGCAGAATTTATTTTTACATAATATTCGCTGGACAGGAAAGATGAAAATTTCCAACCAGGTTTCTTCCGTAGAAAAGAAGTGTTGCATCATTCTAGAAATTTAGAAGCATCTTGCGCTTACCCGGTGATTCATTCGCAAATTTATATACAAAATTAACGAGGACTTCCTGCCTTCCTCTCAGCCCTCAAGCTTTCTACAAGAATTCAGCAGAAGTACGACAAAATCTTTCGCGCCAATCTATTAATTAGACACGACGTGAGCAATTCCCGAGGTACTCCAACCGATGAGAGCCCGCTCGCGGATGTTTTACGCAATATTTTACGATAATTAGATAATCCTCGGATAATTAGGTGGGAATCGCCCGGCGGAAAGATCGTAGAAAGCGGCCACGCGCGCCACGGGCGCACGGAAAATCTCGCTTCGATTCGGGAGGGAATCCCATTGCTGTGTCTTCCTTCGTGTTTTCGCCGTTTTTCTCCGCTCCTTTTCCGCTCGCGACGACGTGCGTGCTCCACTTTTACGATCCGGATCGCCCGCTCGCGGATTACGCCTGCATGCGCGCACACGGCAGCGCAACTGGCCGTTTCTCGAATAGCCGCGCGCTCGCTCGTCCAACACTCCGGACGTGTGTGAGCGCAAGGTCGACCGAAAATCCGGTTACTTTTCCGTTGCGTAACATCGCTGTTGCTACTGCATTTACCACGTTCTCGTTCCCATTGAAACGTGCAAATGCGCGACGTGTCGTGAGCGATGATATACGGCGAGAGCGAGATCGTGCACGCGCCTTCGGGGCACACGAAAAGTATCACTCCTGACCGCTCGGGACCACAGCTCGTTTGCGAAACGGACGAATCACTCTGCCGTGGACGAAATCGCTTTGTCCGCGCGGATCGGTCAATTTATACTCGCGGGTTGTATCATCGACTCTCGCGCGACACGGATCTCCCGATCCTCTGATTCCGATTCTGCACGGTGTAAAGATTTCGGGTCGAACTTAACGCATCTCACGTGTCCTAAACGGTTCACTCGAATTTTTGCGTTAATTTAACACGGGATGAGTACGTTGAGAAGTAACACAAAATTACTTTAATCGATATTGAAATATAAAATGTGTTATTTTTATATTTACATATGTTAAATATCAACGCAACACAAAATGTCGAAGAGATGTAAACACGGTGTGTTAAAGTAACGCATGGGTATGTAAAAGAGTTGAACACAAATCTCGATCGATCGGAAGTATTTCAGGGTTCGAATTACGCAAAGAGCCACGCGCGAGGTAATCCAATCGCAAGGATTGCGTCTTCGTTAACGGTCTTTATCGATTTTATGTATCCGCACGTGGGGCCTGTTAATCCACACTTCTCCCGTACGACTCTCTTTGTTCTACCGTTTCGCAACTGAGGCCGCGCAAAAAAAAAAAAAAGAATTTATTTCGCAATCCCGCGGAGATCTAGGAACGGATAGTCGGTCCACACGGGGAACTGCATAAGCTTCGATAGGATCAGATGTACGCCCGGTTCGAGGTATGCATTCGCGTAATCGCAGGAAAACGCGCGCACCGGGAGATTTGAGACGCGAGGCCGGTGATTCTGATTCGATCGCGATTTGTGCCGGAGAGATAAAGTAAATTCACGAAAAGGAAATCTGGTAATAATTTATCTTAATATAATATGATCACTAACATAATAAAATAATATGACAAACACGTGTAACCTAACGTAATAAAATTATCATATAATTGTATGAGATTATAATATAATATTATAACTATTATGATAATAAATTATTATGCTAACGATACGTAGAATAATTAATATGATGAGATTGGCGGTCATAGCGGCCGCCAGTCAGCGCCAATTTAACGACACCTTGCTAATTAATGACACCGAAACTAAACTGTCGTTTACACGGACGTGTTGCAGGATGCCAACGGAACACTCCGAGGAGCGCACGAGCTAGCCGAAATGAGGCGGCCTTGGAATTCGAGTGTCCCGAGGAATTCGGATACTATCCTCACCCACGCGATTGCACGCAGTACTATGTGTGCGTCTTCGGCGGCGCACTGCTCGAGTCCTGCACGGGAGGCCTCATGTACAGGTAACGCGATCAGAAAATCGCCGAAGCCGGCACGACGAAGGGTTCTTGTATTTTTTCGGAGGACCATTCTCCAAAAAAAAAAAACACAGAAAAAAGTGTTAAATTCGAGTAAATAATTACTCGAACAATCCTTAGCAAATTTTTACTCGGATTAAGTGAATTTTACTCGGATCAAGTAAATATTTTACTTGGATAATTTACTTGGGAAATGACTGACCCGAATCGAGTAAATATTACTTGACCAGGTAAAACCTTGCTGCACTGAGAAGAAAGGCTTAAAAATTTACTCGTGAAGAGGATATAAGGTTTACTTCATAAGTGAATTTTTAAGGACTTTTTTCTCAATGTAAAAAGTTACAACTTAAAACCGCACTGAAAAAAATAAACATTAAAAAATTTATTCGTAGGAGATATAAGGTTTATTTCGCGGAAATAAACCTCACGTCTCTCACGAACAAATGTTTAAGCATTTTTTTTTCTCGGTGCGTCGAACGCGAGAGTTGAAGTAAGATGACGCGAGAGAGCGAGAGAGACACGAGGAAGGATTTGCGCGGCTCGTGTGAGATCTCCGCGAAAGAAATGTTTGCCCGGCGGGGAAATAGATAATCGGTGAAATTGTTCTACGCGCGAGTCGACATTATTTTTCTCATCTCGCGTGCGAGAAACGCTAGAGATGATTCCGCTGGTGATCACTCCTGGGGCCGCCTCTGAAAAATCTTCGCGCGCGTGTCGCGAGTCGCGATCGAGATGCCCGGCGGTTCCGCGATCGCAAATTCGCGATAACGTGAAGGATGGCCGGCTGGAGAGGCATTCTTCCGCTCGTTGCACCTCGGAGTTTCTGCGAGCGGCCGCTTAATTGCGCCGGGTCGTCGACCGCCGGGGCGCTCGCGATTATCGTCGCGAGCGGCAGGTGAGACTCCCGGCAAAAAGGCGGGAGAGAAGTAAGAACGAGACGCGCGGCCGATTTCGCCGGGCCGACCGATCGGCTGATATGGGCAGGGATTAGCGCGCTGCGCTTAGGAAATTAAGCGAGTAATGATAGTAAAAGAGCAAGCCGCGGCCTGTGCGCACGTATTGTCGGGTAGAGACAGATGTGAGCCGGATGAGACGACGGCGGCGGCCCATCGCGCGTTCCCAGAGTTCGCCGTTATGAGATTCGTGAGAGATTTCCGCGACGAGCGAGCGCGCACAACGTCGCATCGCGCCGACGAAACACCGCACTTTCCCGCGGATCGCGCACGGATCCAAAGATCCAACGTGGATGGACAGGTTCCCCTCCCACTTCCCACTAATGGTCGAGAGGAATGCTTTGTCCTCCGAGAGCGCACACGGGCGACAATTTTCATCGGCGTGTTTCAGTTTCATCGAATTGTTATAGTGAAGGAAAATCTCAAGTTCTGTTGAGAAGGTATAAAATTAAAATTTTATGTCTACGATTAAATTTTTTTTTTATTTATGTCTAAAATGAATGCAAACCAGCAACGCTGGTATGCCGTGAAGCGAAGTTTCACAGTAAAGTTTACGTGAGATGTCGGTTGAGAGATTATAATAAATACGTTTTCTCCTATTGTCTTTCCTCCTCTGTTATTATTTTCTCTCTTCTTATTGAAATTATTGAAATTATGTATCTCTAATTAGACATCAGTTTACAGGACAACCTAATCCTAACTTTTCTTGCGTGATTCGGTGACGACGAAGGATAGAGATTGGCGCAAGTTCCAAAGTGATTGAAACACTTAAAAACTCGCGCTGCAAAATAACGTCGTTAAATAAATTACGGCTGATTTGTCCATTTTTTACGAAATGATAGCTCAACTTGATATCAAACAACGCTAATAACACGAGCGAACCGCGCCAAGAAACACGGGTGTGTCAGTTTTCATGCATTTTCCCTATCATAAAATTGTGACTGGTTAGATTGCCGCAAAATATGGTTAGAGTTAGTTGGAATTAAAGTCGATTAGATTATCATAAAGTCATGATTAATCATTACTGGTTAACGTTAGTCGTCGCAATGATTATCGTGACGTTGCAGTGATATTATGATTGTAATTCTGTTATGATAGGACCGGTTGGGGAAATATGAACTCGTTATCCGTTCGCAACGCTCGAGGCACATTCGCGAAAATCGCTGGAGTCGCGATCGCCGATACGCCGAAACCGATCGTTTCCTCGACTCGTTTCCCGGGTGAACGTCGCTCGAAAACGGCTCGCTCGCTGAAAACAGCCGACAAATCGAGCCCGCGATAATAAATCCCTCGAAACGAGCTCCGCCTCGGGGAGAATCGCGCGCTAAATACAAAGTCTCGACGGGCGCCGTGAGCGAGTAACGCGCCTTCGATCGAGCCCGCGTTTTCCGAACGGTGTCGCCGTTTACCTTCGATTCGGTCGAATGCGGCGGCGAGAATTTTCTTCCGAAAAATATTGACACCCATTAACTGAAAAAGTATCGTATTAGTTTGTTCGCTCGACAGATATTATTATCGTTTGGAATCTTTGAAGAGAAACCGTGCAAGTGTGAAATAAATTCCAATGCCTTCAAATTAAAAGGAACAAATTGCCGATTAAGCTTAATATTTCAGGCTGATTAAGTCGAATATTTGTCACCATTTGACGAGTTTAATATCTGTTACGTTGTTACGTTTAATATTGGAGGTTGATTTAATGCCGCATTTAATGCCACATATAAAGATATAGAAAATAAATGGACGAATAACGGGGACAAGAAGAAAAGAGAATTTAAAGTAACAACGGAGAAAAGGAGGGCAATAGGAGAAAGTGAATTAGAATTGCGCTCGGAGATCTCAATCGAGATCGTGATTAGAGCCAGGTTGCAGTTAAAATTGCAGTTGTCTACTTGGAGATCAAGGGCGGACGAGCGATCGCGCGAAAATATTGTCACACCCGGAGCCGATCGAGCCGGATCGAGAATAAATGATCGAGCGTTTCGGCGCCCCGCTCGCGCGCTGCTCGTATAAATTCCCTTCGCGTGTCTCGGCGCGCGATCGACCGATATTATACATACGATCCTGGGGCCTTACTTTCAGCCGTCGTCGCCCCGCGTCTGGATCCGCGCGGTAAAAGGGGGTCGTGTGTGCACGCATAACCCTGAAGGGAAAAAATCGATCGGCCACACCTCGCTTGATACGATAGGATAGCGAGCGAGCGCGCCGCGAACGGGTTCGCCGAGATCCGAGAGACCAAGGTGCTTAACGGTAACACGATATAGCCAAGTACGGTTAAAGAATCGAGACGACGACAGCTGCTCCGGAGAACGACACCGAAATCGCCAAATGCGACCTCCCGATGATGAACTAGTGTCCTTTTCTATCTCTCTTTCTCTCTCTCTTTTTCACTCTCCTTCTGGGCCCGGGAAAGCCTCGGGGAAAACCACGTGCTTCTCTGCAGCCACGCAGTGTTGCGTCAATCGCCGGCCGTTACGTCGACAACGTTTTACCTCTTAATTACGATCGTTACTCCCTCAGAGCCGCGCAACTTATATTTACACAGAGAAAAAAGGTTTCTTTGAAATTTATTTATTTAACCGGAACAGATTTGTCTCTCGGAATGGAGCAAAGAAACGAATATTTGATCCGACAAACTGGATTTCGTTTCGTCCCTTGAACAGAGAAATATCTTTACGCCAAATAACTTATTTCTTTTATATTTTCATCCAAATTTTACAATAACTGACGCTAGCGATAAATTATTTGAAAGAAATAACACTATATTAGAATAAAGAATTTTTTTTTTTTATCGAAAACGACTATTCAGAAATTAACCGTTGAGAAATTTTAATCAAAATAATTACTTGAAAATACCGTTTTTCCTATCGAACAGCACGGTTCATTCTGGTAAAACAACATTTTTATTTAAATCATCGAATAAAATAATATTTGACGTTTAATTATGTTGTTTATATTAACCAAACTCAAGTCAAACAAACACGTATACTAGAGAAATCTTTCTCTCTGTGTAACGAGAGAGAAAAAGAGCAATTAAAATGTCGAAAATTATAGTGATTTTCGGCACGAGCCACATTTCACCGTTTATTTAACGAAGAAAGGAAGCGGCATCGATACTCCGTTACATTACGTAAGGTTATTATTACACTGATACTACCGCAGCACACTCACCGCAAGAAATGGTTCCCCCGACTATAATTATTTCATTATGCAATTATAGCCTTAAATGCCAAACACTCTTTTCGTTCGCAGGCTGAGAGCTCGCGTCAAAACGGTGTTTCGTTTCTCATTCCGAGCGGCACGAAGTCTCGCACGAAGCTCCCGATTCGAAATCTTCGGTCTACTTTAGGTCGCGATTTTTCTCACGTTTGAAACCCAACGATGCCGTTTCGATACTCTCAATAGTCGGACATTTTTTGCCTATGACGGCGGAAAAAAGCTGCGCATCATGAAGATTCGCGTTTGCGCAACAAGGCGGCGGAGGAAGCGATGAAAAACGCGCGAATGTCGCAAAACGAGCGATATCGGAAACGACTCGCGGCTTTAATCGCGCAAATGTTACTTTAATCACGCGCACGTGCGCGCTCGTAATCACGCGAAAACCCGCCGCGCTAGAAATAGCTCGAAGCGATCGACATCGACGGGATGTCGGGCAGGAGGAAGTAATTCGAATCGTCTGCGCTTTCTTCCAGTCACGACCTGCAGACGTGCGATTGGCCGCGAAATGTAGGCTGTGCGGAAGGTGGCTCGTCCGATAAGGAGGTCGAAGAGGATCCCCTGCTGGAAAGGTGAGTTCGACGCTCCGGGTATTTCGTCACGGAATATCGCGAGCGACACTCTCGAATTGTAATCTCTAATCCGCGATTTACTCGGTATCGAGTACACAAGTAGGTCGCAAAATGACGTGTCTTGCGTGAGACGATTTCTATAAACCGTTTCTATCGCGAGAGACGAGAGACGATGGGAGAGTCGATTAACGCATCGACCGCCCGGTAAGTTTTCTACTGTATTTTACCGCATGCTACGCAATGAAATTTTTATTGTGTGACAAACGTATAACGTGTATAATAATCAAAAATCGCGTGATGAATTAAATAACCAGCAAGTATCGCATAATGATCAAATATACTTGCATATTTATGAATTTTGCTTCGAATTAGGTTTCTTTCTGTGTAAATATTTTTCGTTCTTCTGATCTTTAGCTTTATTTTTTTTGATATTGTGTGTTACTTTGTGCTAAAAGGGACTTTTTCCCGTTAACGATGAAATAAATCAAATAGAATAAAAAAAATACCGATAAATAATTATAAATATCTATCAATATTTATATATTTTTCGAATCTTTTTATCATTAAATACATGAAAAGCATCTGATAGTGATAAACCAAATATAACAATTATTATTATTATTAAATAAAAACTTCCCTCTGGATACAAAATACAGATCAAATAACGAATACACTTGTTTACACTTGTTGATCGCACGATGAAAGAGTACAAAGTAAAAAGGTAAGAGAGAAAAAGGGACATCCCCATCAATTATCGTATATGATAAACCCACTGCATCATACCGCGTATGAAATAATGATTGGATCGAACTGTATCATCACGCGTGGCGACTCGTCTCACCGGAAGCCCAGCGACGTTTACCCCCCGGGAAGCCGCTGAAAAGCGAGATGCCGGTCTTCAGGGTGACCCCCGTGGCGCCGTTGAGAAGAAAAGTGGCGGTCACCGGCGAGATGCCCGTGGCGGTCAATGTGTTAATTAAAGATCTCGGAGGTCTTTCGACGTGCAACCGACGTAACACGAAGGACAGAAGCCGATGAGAAGACCCGATGCCCTCCCCTCCTCTTCCCGACACGCGGGAGGGAATTAAAACGACCGATCTATTTCCGGATCGGCTAATGAGTGATTTCGCAAAACCGGCTGCGAGCGAAGGGAGCTCATTCGGCGGCACATTCCATGCGACACGCGGCGATATTCGACCTGCGGATTGCGAAACAATGGCCGCTCACGCTCGAGCTTCACCCACGCTCGCGGCGCTGAGTAGGGGGGGGGGGGGGGAGGCAAGAGNGGGGAGGGGAGGCAAGAGTGAGAGTGAAGAGAAAGAGAAACAGCGCGCGCGAGCTATTCTCGATTAAGGCGGTTCCGTGGCGGATCGCGCGAGGCACGGGGGGGGAGCGGAGTCATTAATTTCGATAGACCGACTCATGTTTTCTCGGCTGCCGAGGCGCCATTGAATGAAGAAGCGTCTATCCTACGCGCGCGAGATCCTCCGCTCGACGTGGGAGAAGGCGCGAGCCCGTGTCTTTTGAAGATGCCGTAGAGGAAGCGCGCGGGTATTATGGAATACTCACTGAGGTTTTCTTCGTGATAAATTGAAAATTATTCAGGATAAATCAAGATAAACGTTGTTAACTTATATCATTATTATTGCATCATCAGCTTTGTTGACAATCGATATTTTGGATTGACGATTTAACGATTGCATTCGCCCAAGTGTCGTTCAATCGATTCTAGACTCAAAGTCGTAAGGTATTTATTAGAACGTTATTTATAAAAATCCGACGATCACTGCATGATGGGTCAAAGAGGAACAAGGATGGCAATGTGGTCTCCTGATTAAGATAAATTTAAAAAAATTGGTTTTGTTTAGAAAAACACTGTCTATCTTTAAATTAATTTCCACTCGGTTGTAATGCCAAGTACACCGAGAAATCCAGTTAGTTGACTCAAATGAAATTTAGTTGGATATGCTGAAACAAATATTTGCTTAGTCGTAAGAACTTGTGGTTCTTTGGACTAAAAGTTTAGTTCTCTGAAATCGAGCCTTTTTCATTTCAGAAAATCTAAAATTAGACACACACACTGCACACGATTTCCTACTAGGCTGCTGCTTGGTCGATTAGATTCTCTTGACAGGCTTAACAGACTTAGAAATCGTGGTATTCCATATTACTTTCACTTCCTCTACGTTCAATTTCGGAAAAAAAAAAGGAAGATCGATAGTCTGGTTGCCGTGTTCACAAATCAATGTAAAGAAGGAAAAAATATAAATAAATCAAAAAAATTCCTTGCGTCACGTGCAAAATAATATCGATTTTAACGTTACGTGTCGGCAAACATTACGATATAAGGATAAGGTAGATCAGTCAGCGATGCGTGATATTAAGTCTACGAAAATAATAATCGGCGGAAAAATGATCGATAATTTAAAACGTGGATAATTCTGTTCCCTTCGAGAAGGAAACACGACACTTTCGCGTCAGGATAACGCGATAAGCCGCCAGTAAACTCGTAGCCGCGAGAACTTCAGCATAAATCACAACGTACATACGCAATCGCCGGCGTTTAACACGTTTTACTCTCGCGCGAACCGAAAAGGAAAGGAAGAAAGAAAAGGACACGAACGATCTGCAAAGTAAACGCGCGAGAAAAGCAAAACGGACCGGCCGAACGCCGTTCATATGTGTTTATCTACCTACGTGCGCGTTACACACCTTAGATTTAAATCGTGTCCCCCCCCCCTCCTCCCGCCCCCAGCGGGAGAAGAAAAGAAGAAAAAATAAATAAATACATACGACGAATCTGTGACGAGAATGGGCCTGGTCGGGCACGAGCGACAGTCGAGCGGGTCCCGTTATGTAAGCCCGAAGTTGGCCAACGCCGCTGCGGGCCGGCCGTTCATTAACGTATTGTGCGTGCGCGGGTGATCGGGGAAGGGGGCGAGAGAGAGAGAGAGAGAGAGAGTGTTTCTCAACTATTCGCTCTCCGTCCCGAATTCCCCGGGTGTCCTTGTCGCTTCGACGAAGAACTTCCGCGAGGCGCACCACGTAATCGCCGATATCGCGCGTCAGAGACAGATTTATCGAGACACCCGTGCGCCGTGACCCCGAAACTGTTGTCTGACGATCGTAACTTGCGGCTGCATTCGACAGCTGTGTAATTTAACGCCGCTAAATTCGATTCTCTCACCCGCGCGTTCGTCGCGTTAAACGCGCGACTGGATCCCGAATCGGCGACGTGAACATGCGCGTGCGTCGTTCTTCTCAAGTGAATTTACTTTAAATTAATTCAATACTATTGGATTTCGTGTAATTCAACCGATGGGAAAGTGGTATCACGGACACTGTTTTAGGTTTTGCACAATAACTCTGTTAAAGTCGACATTTCAAGTTGGAAACTTAACGTTTACATTCGTCGGAGTGTTGTTCGACTTTAGATTCCGAGTTATGAAATATTTGTTACTTGGAATGTGATTTAGGAATTTGGAGACACTGCATGATAAGTGCACAATTTGTGTACACAAAAGCACGCAAATATAACGATAAATTATACTTTAATTTAATTCTATTCAACACATGTCGATGAGTCAAATGTATTAGTTTAGCGTTATATTTGTGTGCCATTTAACACGCTCTCCGTGTCAAAGTGACACGAGATTCCAGATTCCAGCCATTTTTAACACCAAATTTTTTGCCGTACACAAAGGCCATGACGTCACCTTCTCCTCTATGATTAAATTCTATTCAATTTGAATTTCTTACATGTAATTTCATGTAAATCCAATTGAAGCGGCAACGATCGCGCGCGCGCGCGCGCGGAGGGAACATCGCGCCTTAGAATCAAACGGTCGTGTGTGAGCGCTGAACGCGCGGTAAGAATCAGGCGCGAGTCGCGCAGGCAGGGGATCGCATCCGACGTGATCTTCAACGTTATTCCACGCCTTCGAGGAACACCGGAATTCCGTCCGGTCGAGCCGAATTTCATTCTTCGCGTTCGTCACGCCCCGATTTTATCGATCATCGAGTCAGCCGCTCAAAAATCCCCGTCTCGATCGCAGATCCACGAAGCTCGACACGCTACAGGAGCAGCAACCGCAGCAGCAACGGCAGTCGCAGCAACAGCTACGGGACCAGCAACAACAGCAGCAACAACAACGACCGATCCAAAGGCCGGTCACGATCACGAGCACGTCGCCGCCGGTCTCACAGATCGAGAGGCAGCTGCGACAACGGCAGCACTCGCGAACGAATTACCACGAGGACGAGTACGGGCCCGCCTCGGAGGTCGAGAACGATCGGCAGCAACGGGTGTACCGGGGACAACCGTCGACGATCGGTCAGGTGCAGCGTGATCGTGACGGTTTGAGACGGAACATAATATCGGTGAGTGATTCGAAAGATTCGCGTCGCTCGCCATCTCATTTGCCGACGACAGAATGGCTGAATCGCGAATGAATCAAAAGTTTGCCCATTCATCTCCGTATCGATTAGCAATTTAGAAATTGAATAATTACTTATCTTAAAGTTAAGAAAAATCAATTAATTGCATAATAGACAAACAAGTATTTTTCGTCAATTGGAGACTCAACAATTCAACAAATATTTATTAACGGGGAAAGAAAAACACCAATTAGTTGCATAACAGGAAAAGATGAATTAGCACGAATCAAAATTGCCCGCCTATTTTTTTACCGATTCGTTATTCGATAATTTAATAATCATTTATTAACGAGAAGAGGCAAGTTCGAAAACGGATGAAAAATAAATAGCAGATTATGATGACTTGCTTTCATTCGAAATGCATGAAAAAGAAATTAAATTCGTATAACATCAACAACGTACAGGCGTGCTTTTGCAACGAAGAAAGGGAGAGAAGGGAAGAGAGAGTTTAGTTTCGGCGATTAACGCGCTCGTCGCGATAGCGGACGCGCATGATTCAATCGCGCAATCGCGCATATTAGGATGCATCGACGGTTTGTCGCGACAAGAACGGCAGGTAGAAAGTTGCGTCGCGAGTAGGTGTCCGGTTTAATCGCCGCATCTAAATTTTATCGGTCATCAGCGATGAAACCGAAGATAGCGGGACAGTCGATAGTCGAGATAGATTAAGTCGAGATCGCGTCTGTTTCAGGAGAGGGAGAAGGACAGCCTGGTGAGCGCGCGCGTCCAGGCCGAGACTCATTACAGGTTGGTAAACGAAGTCGCACTTTCCTACGACGCGAACAAGGCGCATAAATCGGACAAATTGTTTTTGGTTAACAAACATTCTATATTCTTCTTTTAGCAGCAATCAGTCTTATCAAACGTGTAACGTTCCATAACAATCTCAATATTAATTTCATATTAATTTCAACATTTCACTGCCAACAAGGCGAATAAGTCCGACAAATCGCTTCTAATTGCCAAATTTTCTATTTCTCATCGACAAACAATATCCCTGAATACAAGAATACATAACAATATCAATTTCAACTATTCTCAATCATTAAATATCGTGATCGACATGATTTATTGAGTAATTGCCGATTGCTAAAAACTTTGTCATATTGAGTGATTGTTATGAGACGGAACTAACGTTCCGGAATTTGTTATCCGTTAATAAACCAGCTCAGCGGCGATCCGTGCAACGCGATCTCGCCCGTGATAATCGAGCGCGTCTGTCAACATTTCAGAACGCCGATCCCGACGTCGGAGTCGCCGAGGCTCGCGAAAACCCTGGTTTCGACCGTGGCACCGGTTCTATCCAAGGCGTACTACAACGACCCGGATCAGAGTTATCCGTATTATACGATTTACGACGACGATGTCTCCATTTACAAGGACGACGGTAGGCGTTCAGACCCGACGACGGGCGATCTCGCTCGCGCGTCCTCGCAACGCCTCCACCTCAATGATTCCCCCCTCGTCCGTTTGCTTTTTTCTTTCATGTATCGCGGCCCGCGGCAGATTACAATCAATACACGGTGAACCAAACGGTGCAGCAACCGAACGTGAAGATCAGCGAGGTGAACACGAAGCAGTACCAGAAGCCGAAGAAGGTCGCGGTCAACGAGGCGGACAAGTACAATCTCAATCAGGATGTGCAGGACTACGATATCTATGAGAATCAGGTAAGCGGCCATATCCTCGGCTCGAAATTGCGGAATTCTGCGGCCGCCTTAGAATACAAAGATTTTCGCGAACGCGTTAATAAACGTCGTTTTTGAGATGAAAATATCGGGGAATGAAACTGGACTTCGGAGCATTGTTTTAAGAATTCGTTGAAACCTGTACCGCACGTAGATTTAAGTGACCTAATTGTTGGCGTAATTAGAAAACTGATTGACTATTCGGGAACTGAAATATTTATTTGCAAATGAAGATAATGCTTTTTATACGTATTCCTTGATATCTTTCACTTTTATTTTTAATTTATTCTAAACCACATTTAGGATCTTAATGAAAATCTACCGTGATCTTGAAAATTGATATAGAGGCATTATATAAAAATTTTAGAATGATGGATTTTTCTGTTTTGAAAACATAACCATAAGAAATTTACAATTTATAATAATATTCGCGACATGTATATGTATATATATATATTTAAATATTTATATATCGCTTCCGATTATCCATGCAGTTCTATTAGCTCATATCGACGTATGAATAAGGCATTAACAAGAAAAACAGAACTAAACAATGTCTCCGTGTTTGTAATATTGTGTACGCTTCTCTTAATTTCGCTCCAAAATTGACATTTATCACTTAGATCATTAAATGAAGTACATGAAAGTGTTTTTTTTCTCAGCAAATAATACATTTGTGTAGAGGCCCTTTAATATCGCCATTGGAAATCCGGGACTCCACGAGACACACAGATTCGCTTTAAATCCGAAATTGGAATACCGTTCGCCCGCGTTTGTCCGTGGGGAATGCTAATCCAGTCTCGCCGAAGTTGCGAGTGATAATCGCCAATTCGCGGGTTAGCCTCGTTAGAAAAGACATTTCGCGTGAGCAGTCACGAATGGTTTCTCCGCTTTTGCGTTCCAGGCGCAGCTGAACAAGAACAAGTTCCGCATTACTGACGGCCAGCAGTACAGGTAAGGAAAGCGCTTCGATTAATTGATCGTCCCGCGATTTAACCGGCTTGCGCACGAGCGGGTCCCGTTTTATAATTTCTCGTTGTCGTTCGCGAACGATCTCCCGCCGATTACCCGGTTGCATCTCGCGCAATGAGCTCGTAACGAGCGAAATGTGCCACGTGCAAGAATAGCCGCTTTTTAATCTCGTCCTGTCGATCTCTGCAGCGTCGAGCGTCGAATCGTTTCGAGTCGTTCACGTACGTACGTACGCGCACACCGAGCTTTAATGAAGCCTTAACATTTATCAAGCCGAAATTCCTCAGTCTTCTTAATCGTAACATGGACATGCCTGTGCATTATGGTAGTTGATTATTTATTTGGCCCACCATGTATAATACTTTCATCATATCATTATCATACATACGTGTAACCGTCATCGTACCATCATCATACTCGTGTCATCTTCATAGTGCCAGCATAATCACATCCACGTCAGAACGTCATCGTCCTCGTCAATCGTCGTCATCATATCGCAAATATATGTTAACGCATGATATTGCGTCACATTATATCTTATTAGGGACTATTAGGAAGACTAACGAGTTTTAGATTAGCGAACGTTAAGGCTTAATCGAAGCATGGCGCTACATTCCGCTCGCGATAACGCCGCGACATTCGCTTGTCGCTGCAACGTTTCTTTTTCACCATTTAATTACGCGATTACGCTGCTTATAATGCGGTCATCGATGATACACCGGCCGGTGATTTGATTAATCCCCTCGCGACGAGTCTCGAATTCGCGAGCGGCTTTCCCGCACGGAACGAAATCGAGGAGCTGTGCTCCCCTACCGCGAATTTCTGCGCTACCGGTCACTATCTTTTATAACGCGGAAAGCAAATATATTTCTCGACGGAAAATCACAAATTAGTCGGCCTCGCGAGATATTTCAACCGCGTTCGTTATATCGCCTCCAAGAGCGCGCGCGCGACGCCGTCGCTGAGAAGCCAGAAACTTTCTCCTTTGGATCTCAAGGCGCAATAATTCAGACGTTAACTCTCGAATACATATTCGATACGCTTTTGATACCCTAATGAGACTCTAAGGCGAGATCTTCCTCTCGCGTTGCACGCGCGTTCCTGCCTTCGGGGTCCCTCAAGCAAAACGAGGAACGCCCGTATATACCTGTTGAAAAATTATCTCTGCAATGTGCACTCTTTTTCCTTCCGAAGCGTTCGCACACACTCGGGGGAAGAATTAGCCCGGAGCTCGTTAGAGATAAATTGCATTTGCCGCGGATTGTCACGCATTAATTTGCTCTGTTAGAACAAGAATAGTATTTTCCTGCATTCGCTGACTCGTCCTTACAGCAAAACAATTTTCCGGCGGAGTAATCCAGCGAATGGCAATTAGTTTCTCTCGACAAATCGTTTTCCGCGTAGTAATCGACAGAGCTTGCTGCGATGCGGCTAATTATTTCTCCCCCCCCCCCAGGCTAATTTTCCCTCCGAGCGCAGGTGCCCAAGGAAGCGTCGATCGCTTCTCCCGCGCCGCCGCTTCCTTCTAACGCGTCCTCACCGTCGGGACACTCACGATCCCGTTAAATCGTCTAAAAGCGTCGATGCTCGCTCGCGTAATCCTCCGATCTTCATTAAAAATACACCTCGTCGCACACTGGATTTGAGACTCGTCCCGCCGGTCTTCGTTCTCACGTCGCGAATCGGCGGTTACATCGGCGATTACATCGACGGTTACGAGGAGGAGAAGGAGGATGATCATCCTCCTTCTCGCGCGTTGCGCAACGCGCACACGCGTTTTTAATCGTGTGCCCCTCTTCGCAAATGCAGGACAAATGTGCTTAGCCATCCCGTGGTCCACGTTACGACGCCGAACGTCATCGTCGACACCTTCATACCGCTGACCACGAGCACGCAAATCCCCAGCACGACCAGCAGACCCTACACCGTCAACGCACCGAGGTACTCGATAATTGATCGCTTAGCTTTCGATCTTTAATCTCTCGCCTCCCCGCTACCGTCAGGCAGGGCTTGGAATGACGTGACGAGTGTACGCTTGGATTAATTCTCTTCTTCTTGTGTATATATACCGATTATTACCCTCCCCCTACGCCTCCGGAAATACGTTACTTCGGTACGTGTAATCGAGAATTTACACTGAGAGAAAAATATATTTAATAATTATAATAATTATATATACATAATGCCGGGTTTACGTGTCGATGAAAAATTCGGTCGAAATCATGTCGAAGTCATGTCGAAGTCGAGTCGAGATCACGTGGAAATCAACGTTCGATTTGATACTTGTAAGATTTTATCGCGATAACTGGAAGATAATGTAGGATATTGACGTGTTTTCGTCGGATCCGTCGCGGTGGATGACATTTTTACGCACTTGCCAACAACACGACACGCGGATGCGAATTTTGGCGCGTGGCGCGAAACGCGAAAGGGACGGCCCTGGCGCCGATTTCCGCCGGCCGAGATCCGATTTCGCCCGGCGTCGGTGGTAAAACGAAGTCCCTCGCTTGCTCGCTTTACGCGCTTTCTCCGTCACGCGGTAATAAACGAGCATTTTCCTTATTCGCGCCGCCGGAAATCCTCGGATCTTATCTCCCGCCCTAATTTTCTGCCTCTCTTCTCTCACCTTTTTCTTCTTCTTCTTCTTCCTCCTCCTCCCCCTCTTCACGTGTTTGCTTTCTTCTTTCAGCCGAGGTCGACCGCAGCAGATCCATCGGGGCACGGCGCCGCCGTAAGTTCATTGTCAATTCACTTTCCTCGATGAGGCAGGATTCGAATGATGTAGCACATTCCCCGCGAGTCCGCGAGCGCGATCCACGCCATTACGGATACGTAAGGCGTGGATTTTCGGCTTCGCCGCGTCTCTTCAGAAGTCTTTTCTCGCCGACTCGCGGCATCAAGTGGAATGTTCCTCGCGAGGGAGATTTTGCTCGTTAATTTCCCAAGGAATGATCAAAAGTCGGTGTCGTTTTACCGCTTGATCCGCACATTGAATATATTTTCCGAGGGTCAAAATTTTGGATGATAATTCCGAGGAAGCTAAGATGACAATCTCATCTCGGTCATCTTCAGCTCGAAGATCCCGACTTTTAAAAGATCTCAGCCTTGTCGATTCTTGTTGATTAAAAAGTTATTAGCAAAAGAAGAGCTGATAAAACTCTTCTTTTGTTAAAAAAGAAAAGAAGGAAGCTTCTTCCGTTCGAATCTTTCTCTAACGAATATCTTCAACTGAAACCATCTGAAGGTTATTCAGGTGGACCTTCTCGACGGCCGACGTGAAATTCGTCCGTTGAGAGGAATAATCATCGTCACTTTGTAACATTCGCTCCTCCTTTCTTTCGTCCCAAGTTTTATTCTATTCTTCGTTCCAACGGGAACGGCCCATGATGAAAGTTATCGTTAATGTGGTGAATTAATTTGATGCGAGACGTATTATCTCGATCGGGTTTAACCCGAATCGAATCAGACAGATTTAACAAATCCTGCTAACGAAACTTTTTTTTCCGACGCCCCCAGGCGATCATCCCGACCCACGTTAAAGCCATCCACCGAGATAGTTTCGAAGGCGCAGGAGTTCATCGATATCTACAGGTATCCGCCGGTGAGGCCGGCGCCGATCTATCCGACACCACAAGTCGACAAGCCCGCGGCGAAATGTCGCAAGGACGTCTGCCTGCTTCCGGATTGTAGCTGCGGAGGTTCCGACATCCCAGGTAAATCTTCATTTTTTATCGCGTCAATTGCTATTCTCGATGAAAGTCTGTCTTTCTGTCTCTCTTTCGGGACGACCCACTGCAATCGGCCGATTGATTGAAATTCTACCGATCTTTCTCTCTCTCTCTCTCACATCTCCCGTCCGATTTTCTCCGAGTTTTCAGAGGAAGTCGCGGAAATTCATCTCAAAACCGCGTTCGAAGTCAGCTCTAGTCGAAATTTGAAAACATGGAATGCACAAAATACATAAAATATTTCAGCTTCCGAATATCAATTGTTTCGAAACTTTACCAAATTTCACGAAGTGTAGATAGTATTTCCATCAACGTGCAGCGGAAATTGAAAAGAATTCCGAAGAAAATGAAATTTCGACTCGGGATCGGCCGTCGCGATCGTAAAGCAGCGTATCGGCAGCGGTGGTCGCAACTTCGCGACGGTGACGTTTTGTCTTTCGTAATCGCGAATACCGGAGGTGCCGGCCGGCTTAGAAGTGGACCGGAAACGACGTGTCAGAGATAGAAAACGCCCGAGCGGAAAAGCCGGCCGCGCATCCCGCGTGCCGGAAGCTCGGAACGCGCGCCAGCTGGACGCGAACGAGGAAGTGGGGCGCCGTTCTGGAAAGCGGATATCTCGTTGGAAAGTCGTCGAATTCTGCGCTCATCTGTTCTCCGCCGCGTCAGCAGGGAGGGGAGAGCTCGGATCGATTAAATCAGCCGTGATAAAGCCGAGACGAGAATATCTCGTTCGGCCGGCCGAACGTGCCGGGCGGGAGGAGACATTCGTGACTCGGTCGGTGCGACTTCGCGTCGCGAATGTTAAGTTTGACGAACGGTTTAGACGGTCTCTCTCTCTCTCTCTCTCTCTCTCGCGGGCGGAGGACTTTCTCCGATTCTCTAACGTTACATATACGCCGCGGAGACCGCCGTTACACGCCGCACGCTCGAAAGTGAAACACAAATATATCCACGCCCGACGTGCGTCGCCCTTCGAAATCGAAAGCGAAATTCGCGCTCGAGAGGGACGTTCCAGCGAGAACGATCGATCGACCGATTGCCGTTGATCGTCTCGGATCGTCTACCGAATGATTGACGTGAAAAACGATCGTGAAAACGCGCTATCCGTGTAATCCGGGTTTTTCTATATGGCCTGAATACCCAACTCGCGGGTATTATCGGGATCAGAAACAGTTTCTTTGGAATCATATATTTTTCTCTGCATAAATATTCTTATTCTTCCTGGCAACGGGTTTGGAGATATTTTGAACCGAGGTCGAACGAAAACTGAATACCTTGCCGGGTATTTTACATTTTATTGGGTTGATGCAACTCGTCCCGTATTTTAATCAAAATGCACATGTGACTTTTATTTATTTTAAGATACAATCGATCAATTAGATATACTCCGTTTTGTTCGATGACCTGCCATCTTTCCGGTACACAGGGAAAATATTATAGTAACAATTATCGCAAAATTTTGTAATGCTGGACCATAACGGAATTATACAATTTTGTGGTAATTTTTACTACACTATTTTCTCCGTGTAACTATATGATCCTACGTAGAAATTCTGTGATCTCTGAGCGAAGAACTGATGAAGAAACGGAACGAATTTTTACATCAACTCCATGTGCTCAATATATCCTGATAGAAAAATTAAGTATCTCGGAAAAGTGCCTATTTTCTTTATTGACCTTTCCTTCATACTTTCACACGTACAATAACTTGGACAATAAATAATTAGAGCAGGAAGCAGAAATAAGAAATTTAGAATAACGAGCGGAATTAATGAGAATAATGAAAATAACGCGAATAAGAAGTGAAAATAATGAGAATAAGAGGGCAAAAATCGGCTGTTTGGTTCTAGAATACTCAGTTAATTTAAGAAATACCCCGGTAACTGACGCCATTAAAGTCTCATTACGTTGGTGAAATTGTCGTTTTCTCCTTCGCTTCGCGGACGAAAGGAGAGAGAGAGAGAGAGAGACAGACAGACAGAGAGACAGAGACAGAGAGACGATTCTTAGAGAGAAACGATCTACGAGAATTCCCCGATTTTCCAACACCGGTAGGCGCGACTCCTCGGTAAAATGACGCCCGGAGAATCTCCATTTCTCCTAGGTAGACATAGAAATAACGAATTTCTCAAAAGCCTAAGAGAGAGAGCGCGTGTGACACGTGCGGTAACGATATACGCGCTCGTATACCACCGCGATGATGAAACTGTGATGACACGCACGCAGGTGGTATTCCGAACGAGCAGACGCCGCAGATCGTTCTGCTCACGTTCGACGACGCCGTGAACGACCTGAACAGGCCGCTGTACAGCGACCTGTTCGAAAACGGCCGTAAAAATCCGAACGGCTGCCCGATCTCGGCGACGTTTTACGTCTCGCACGAGTGGACGGACTATAGCCAGGTGCAAAATCTCTACGCGGACGGCCACGAAATGGCGTCGCACACAGTCTCGTAAGTCGGCTCTCGCGGGTTCTCACTGTTCAAGCGCATCACCGTCATCGTCATCGTCATGAAACGCGTTGTCTTCACCAGGGGAACTCGCCACGAGACACGAAACGCTCGCGCGCATCGCGCACGGAGGAAAATCGTTTAGGGGAACAGCAAGTTTCACGCTGTCGCAGCAAATCAAATATACAATGTAAAAATAAATATGTACATGGTGTCTCATTAATATTGCCTAATATTTTAGAAGCCGATCCTTGAGGTTATTTTACAAGGAAAAGTTCGCATTAACGTACGTTCATCTTATCACCATGAAAACGACTTCGAAAATCAATTCCTAAAAAAATATATATATATATATTTATTTATTTATTTATTTATTTGCTACGAAAAGCAAAAGAAAATTTGCTGCCCCTCTGAATTATTTTTCTCCGTGTACGTGTTTCTGCATTCATCGTGTCTCTTTCTCTCGCTCTCTTTCTCTCTCTCTTTCTCTCTCTCTTTCTCTCTCCATTTGGCTGCGTGCGTGCGTCCGACTTTCGACGTCCGATTTTTTCCGCCTCCGTCTGCTCGCTTTGACCGTCCACTTGACCGTCGCGCGTCCTCTCCTTCGGCGGAGAGCACGCGCCACGGAGACGTCGATCGAGAAGCGCGACGCGTCCACGGCGGATCCTGCAATGCACGGATCCTCCGACGAGCGGGTCCTCCAGGTGTTGTTTAATAACGTCGCAGCCTCTCGCCCGAGAGGATTTTTTCTGCAACTTATATTCACGTACGTCTCATGTTGTATATATATATATATATATGTGTGTGTGTGTGTGTGTGTACTTTCCAATCTCTAATTAATATTTATATTTTTTTATCAATTTATGATTATATATTTATATCGTTTCCGTATAGATCGGGCTTCGTTTTCGTCGATTGCCGGTCACCGGGCGCGATTATGCGCGAAATTTCTGGAAAGATTGCTTTGCAAAGGTTGAAGTTGACGTGTCACGTAACTACGTTCGAGGCAATTTAAAACTTATTTCACTGGTACATTGGCCGTAACGTAGTCCCCCATTGGTTCCTAATCGAAAGTCGTTTTATTCCGACTCCTTTACACGCCCTTTAAGCTTACGAATAACCTTTCGAATCACCCTGTACATCCTTGTTCATACACGAGAACATAAATTAATACGAATTTTATTTCTGCGTACGGAAAGACCTAACGAACGCTGGGAAGACGGCAAGTAGGTGAACATACGCGGCATCGAGATGAAATTCCCCTCGTCGGTCCCTTTAAATTCTACGGAAGATCCGCCGGGCGGATGTGGAGGAGAAATTTCAATTCAGACAGGGTCAAGGTACACACGTGTACAGCTCGTGTGCTCGTTACCGATCGCGTTCCACCGATCGCGAAGACGATGCGACGGCACCGTGCAATTAGAGGATCCGCTGTGGGCGGCTGAAAAACGCAAATCACTGTACTCGCCCGGTGAAACCGCGCGATGCGAGAGATCGGCGATCTCTCGTCGTACCGAAGGGATCGCCCGGCCCGATAGCGACGCGCCGTAAAACACGCGGTTTCACCAGGTGTGCACGACACCCGAGTCGTATACTAACGACGCGTGGTACTAACTCTTTTCTTTCTTTCTCTCTCTTTCTCTTTGCCTCTCTGTCTCTCTCTCTTTCTCTCTCTCACGCTCTCTTCATCGCCACATCACACGCTCCTCATTCCCATCACGCGCCGACTCTAACGTGTCACACATTGTCACACATCGACCACCGGCACAAATACTCCCACGCGTAAACGTCATGTATGAAAAACGCTCGCCATATTTAAAAAAAAAAAAACTCCACATCACACACCGATATACCGTGGACAAAAAAAAACGAACGAACGTAAATTGAATTGAAATTAAATCGAACGACGACTCGGCACGCGACACGCACACACCTCTCGACGACAATCTCTCGAGCGCGCGTTTCCGTTCCCTTCTCCTCCGTGCCTCTCTTTCTCTTTCTTCACCGTTTCCCCCCGACCGCCCCCTTTCCCACTCTATTATACGCCCACGTCTCTTGAATCACCTTCCGAACCGCGATCCCGAAACGAACAGGTGACTACCTACCGGAGGAGATACCGCAAATCGTACTCTTGACCTTCGACGATTCCGTGAATGACCTGAACAAGGGCCTGTACGCCGATCTGTTCGAGAAGGGACGAAAGAACCCGAACGGCTGTCCCATCTCGGCCACCTTCTACGTGTCCCACGAGTGGACCGACTACAGCCAGGTGCAAAATCTCTACGCCACCGGCCACGAGATTGCCTCCCACACGGTCTCGTAAGTAGCCAGGCGAAGAAAGGAAAAAAGAGCTCGCCGGAAGATCGTCGTCAGACGAATCCGAACGCGCTCGATGTAAACGCGATTTATTCTCGCGATTATGTTCTCAGCAGCGAGAGCAAAGTCTCGGGGTGGGCATGCGTAAAATCCCGAATTTACGTCAAAATCAATTCTGACTCCGACCTTGACAGAGATTCAAAATTGATCAGAATCGATTTCGATTCTGGCACTAATTAAAAAAAAAAAAAAAGAGAGAACCAATTCAATCAATTCTTGATTTCCGATTTATTCGCGACATAACGAGATCCTTCCGGAGAGGGGATATCCAAGGCCCATCGTCTGTTTTGCAAACGAAGTGAAATAAATTACGGTGAAACATCGGTCGGACACCGCGAGGGAATCGAGCGTCCCGGACGAACCACCGTGCTCTTCCATTTTCATTCGCGCGCACATGCGACCCAATCTGTATCAATCACGCTTGCTCTCGGCAATTGCAATCACCCGTCTCATCGGTGCACTTCAATATCACGGATAAACGTCGAGCTATTAATCACTCCCGTTGGAGTTACCGAAAAGCGATTATCGCCTACGCTTTAACAGGGCCGCTCGGTGCTGGAATTAACACTAGCTCGTCTCGTCGACGAGTGAGTTAACAAGTGGCACGGTGTAATCGCTCGCTCATCGGGTCGATCGATCGATCCGATCGATCGCTTTCGCTATCGTCGCGCTACGCCGAGCAGGTCGAGGTGACGGCGCGATGGCGCCTTCGGGAAATATATTTCGCGCTGTTACATTTCTGTTGCGTTATTTTATAACAGATATCTTGTTGTTATCGTACGATTTCAAACTTCCTGTCGCTCTTATTCTACGTCGTTCTCGATGAAAGAGCCGATTAAAGGGAAGAAGGAATTTTTCGTGCGAAAATAATCCATAAAAAAAAAGAATAGATGACGAGAGCTATCGAGTGTTTTTTTTTTTCTTTTTACGAATAAATCAGCGAATAAACGATGAATTTCTTATGAAAAAATCTTTTAAGGCGACCATATCGATAAAGAGTAATTTCGAGAGAGATATCAATAAAGACTCGTTCAGCAGCGAAAGTGGACTTCCTTGTACGAAATCTCAATCGTGCGTTCTTTCGACGGCTCTCGGCGTCTCGTCATTCTGCAAAAGCGACGTTAACGTCTGGCCGTTAACGATTGCGTAATCAAAAGAGAAAAAGACGTCTGCGCCGTCACGGCGGACGTCGTCGTCGACCACCTCGAGTTCGGCGCCGGCGCGCGATCGGCGAATGCGAAGGCTCGTTTAATTCCTCATAATTCCAAATGATCGACGAGAAACCCATTACGACAGACACAGTTTCGGCGAACAGTTCTCGGCGCGAAAGTGGGCGCGAGAGGTCGCCGGCCAACGTGAGATCCTGTCGGCTTACGGAGGCGTCAAGCTGGAGGACGTGCGGGGGATGAGGGCTCCCTTCTTATCGGTGAGTGCTTTTTTGCCAGCTCTTATTGTTTCTCGTTCGCGATTAAGAGAGAATAATAAACGCGTTAATACTTGATACCTCGCGTTGAACTTTTGTCGGCTCGTCCGATTCTTCTTGAACTGTACATCAGGCACTTCGTCACGGGAAGAGAAAACGTGGCAAATTCTGCCCGAACACACGTGAATTTTTCTAAACGAATTTTTACACTTTTAGAACCGACCCGGAGAAATCGGCGGAAAAGTGGAGGAGAAAACCTGGTTTTTCCCCGAAACTAAAACTATAATTTTAGCTCGCTTTGCAAAAACGTTCACGCGTATAAAATAGTTATGCATTTTCCAAATCGACTTTCGGGCCGCCCAGTACACACTCGATATTTTAAGATGATGCTTCAAGTTCGACGGAATTCGCCGGCTCAGCTTGCAAACCGAAATTTCAATTCAATGTGAATGAACGCGAGTTTCCGCGAGAATTCCGGTACCCTCGGAGACGCGCGGAACGACGTGATTCGGGGGCGATGCAACGACGCTCTACATACGTTTGGTTGCGACCGTTGCACTCGCAGGTCGGCGGCAACAACATGTTCAAGATGCTCTGGGACACGAACTTCACGTACGACTCCTCCATGCCGATCTATGAGAACCGGCCGCCCAGTTGGCCGTACACGTTGGATTACAAGCTCTTCCACGACTGCATGATACCGCCCTGTCCCACGAGATCCTATCCGGGCTTGTGGGAAGTTCCTATGGTAATGTGGCAAGATCTCAACGGCGGTAGATGCTCGATGGGAGACGCCTGCAGCAACCCACCGACACCGGACGGCGTGTACAAGATGCTCATTAAGAATTTCGAGCGGCATTACACGACGAACAGGTTAGTGGAAAGCGACAGATCGTATTGCGTAGCGGGCCGTCCGCGATTGTCGACTCGCGAATCTGCTCCTTTACACGTTGCCGCGTGAAGTCCACGGAGAAATTGACTTTACTTTAATCGAATCGAACGACATCCTTGCCTGGATATGAACGGACAAGTGTTTCGTTTTAAAAAACCAAGATTTGGTTCTCCGAATTCAGTTCTTGTAACCAGAAATTCTATTTTTTTTTTTTTTTTTTTTTTTNTTCTCAAACGCCTTCGTTAGGCAGGTCGTTCATTGTCCCCCTGTCTTACGAAAGTCGCGTTAATTCGCACGTGGTTCTCGCGTTATCGTGACGTCGACAGGGCGCCATTCGGTCTGTTCTACCACGCCGCATGGTTCACCCAGCCGCATCACAAGGAAGGCTTCATATCGTTCCTCGACACCATCGTCGCCATGGACGACGTATGGGTGGTCACGAATTGGCAGGCCATCCAGTGGATTAGGAATCCAACGCCCTTGGCGCTCATGCACACTTTCGAATCCTTCGGATGCCATTATCCGGTGAGCACCACCCCGTCCTTTCTCGCTCTTGAGGCCTTTTCTCTCGAATAGCCCGACGATAATGAGCAATTTGGCGTGTGCATGCAGGACCGACCGAAGAAATGCAACAACCCGAAGGTCTGCAATCTCTGGCACAAGAGCGGCGTGAGGTACATGAAGACCTGCCAGGCATGCCCGGACATCTACCCGTGGACAGGCAAGACCGGTATACGTAGCAGTCGCATCGACAACGAGGTCGACGCGCACGAATGAGCTGTACAGACGGAAAGCGCAGTTTTCGTTGCGATCGGGAAGAGAGAGAAACCGCTCATCGTACGAGAGGCAAACCCGAATAACGTGAACGTCCCACCGAAAAATGCGTCGCCACCACGGACGGCACAAACTTCAAACAGACGTCCGCAAGATGTTTCACCTTTTCTGGACGTCTTTTCGAAACTTATGCTCTCTGGAAGTAAAAGAGGGAGGAGGCTAGAGAGGAGGTTTAAAGGATAAATCTTATTAATCTTCAATTAGATTTAATCACTTAAGCAAGCACTTAAATTTAATTAAATTTCACGCGATTCAATTTAATGCAATTTAATTTGCTCTAATTGAATTTTTGTTAAATTGAATTTCACCCAATTTAATTGATTTACCAAAATTGAGCAAAATTGAGTTGAATAAAGTTTAATTAAATTTGGTTAAGTAAAATTTCATTGAGTTTAATTAAATTTCGGTCAATTTCGGTTTGAATTCAATTGATGAGTTAAATTTCGGTAAAATTCGATAGAATTTCGTTAAATTGAATTCTCCCCCTCTCTCTGGGCTTCTTCGGACTTTCTCGCGGATTTCTTCGCGTTATTCGGGCTTGCGCCGCTGTTGCCGCGCTAGGAGGGAGGACGCACTCTCTTCCGTTCGGTTTAAGTAAACCTCGAGTGCTGCACGCGCGCGTCCTCGCGGACGGACGCACTCGGGCCGAGTACGCCGATGCAACGAGTGTTTCGCGCGACGAGAAAGCTGTCCCTCGCGACCGACCGGGGCTTGCGGAGAGAGAAAGAGAGTTCGTGGGAGATCCGAAACGGTCGTCCACGATTTCCTCGATCCTCCTCGAAAATGTGGGTGAGGGCGAATATCACGAGGAGGGATCGCGTGTCGGTCGGCCTCCGCAGCGTGTCGTCCGCTCGTCGGCAAGCTTTTGCTCCCCGTTTCATTTCTTCTTTATTTCTCGTCTTATTCGAGCGCGTCGATATCGACATCGGTATCGGAGGCGCGTGCGCCGAGTTAATTCGAGCCGCGGAAAAATGAAGATCGTGCGAAGAACACCGAAGAGCCCACGCTTTCTCTCCTTTCTTCTCCTTCTTCTTCCTTCACTTCTTCCTTTTCTCTTCCCGTTTCTCTCGCGTACTTTCCCCTCATTTCTCTCAGCCGACTCTCTTCCGCCCCCCCCCTCCCTTTTTCTCTTTTTATCTCTTACTCTTTCTCTTTCCTTCTCTTTTTCCTCTTCTTCGTCTATCGTTCCTTCTTCTATCGTTACCTCTGTCGAATTCGCGAACATCCTCGGCGTACTCGGCCGAATTCGGCCAAATAGAGCAATTAATTAAATCGCAACGCGTTAATAATTAATCGTCGGGATACGTAAGTAATTAAGCGCCGGTCGCCGGAGACTATCATCATTTCGTAATTTAAAGAAACTCGCGACGGCTCTCGCGATCACGTGAGATTCACGATGCGCGGAGGAGGTCTCGTTACTCTTTTTTTTTGCGGAGAAAAAAAAAACAGAAAAATCATAAGAAAAGGAAAGAGTAAGAATCGAGGGAATCTCGCCTTGACGAAGTATCATGCGCACGAGGGGATCGTCGTGTTTACCTTCTAGAACGTAAAAAACTATATGTAATATGACTTTATAATAAATAAATATTTCGCTACAATATACATGTCTACCTCTCTTCTCTCTCTCTCTCTCTCTCTCTTGACCGACCGACCGACCGACCGACCTCGTTCTTTAAAATCTCACAGACAATGTCGGGAGGATGTTAGATTTAATTAAATCCAGTCTAACTAAATGCGATATTCCCTCTCAATCATCAAATTGGTATCAAACTACTAATACTTTTTAATATTATACATCAGAGAGAGTCTCTTTATTCTTTTTCTTTTCTCTTCCCTGTTCTTCCTCTTCCTTCTTTTTCTTCTCACGTATACAAACACACACCAATTTATAGTTCTTTTTTGTACAATATACAACAACAGAGCCGGAGCTCCGCGACCCGCTACCCGTGGTTGGCGCACTTCTCGTGTATGTGGATGACGAACCTCTTCCTGTCGCCGTAAGGTCGATTGCACAAGTTGCACGTGAAGGGGTCGTCTTGTCCGTGGCAGCTCATGTGCGCGTTGTACATCTCCACATCGGGGTATGGTATCCCGCAGTGTACGCACATGTAACTTACTTCTGTTGCCGCTGTCTGCTGCTGCTCGCGCTCCTGAGTCGGTCCGACGGGGTTCGGGGCGTCTTCCGGGGTGGCCGAGATCAAGGTCGAAGGAGGAGCCGACGACGGGGTGGGCGAGCTCGACTGACAGAGCCTCTTCCCGCTCTGCTTCGCAGATTCCTCGTCCGTAGTGTCGTCCTCCGGCGCAATCTGGAGCTTGACGGCGACACCCTTGCGCCTCTTGTTGGCGGCCGACGGCTTCTGCGAGTACGCCGGGTTTGCCTGCTGAAAAGGGAGCTGCGAGCTGGCGGTGTTCGGCTCGTTCCTCGGCAATCCCGAGGCCGACGCTTGCCGGCAAGAGAGCTGGCAGCTGGTGTTGTGCTTTTTCTTCAGCGACCCTGAGGTCAGGTCCAACGGCATGTTCTCGGAGCTGTAGAACTGCTCCAGCTCCTCCTGGTTTCTGCCGACGGCCGGCTGGTTCTCGGCGCTGAAGTGTTCGAAAAACTCGGGTTGCCGGACCGCCACGACGTTCGTCGTTGCAGCCACCATGACGACCTCTTCCCCCGCATCTCCGGTGTTCTGCGGCGCCGACGTCGTCGTGTGCGTCCTCTCGCCGAAGACGAAGCCACCGGTTGGCATGAGCTGCTGCACCTTCGTGTTCAACGTGGTAAGCAGCTTGGGCGAGAAGCGGAAAGAGCTCATCTGCTGGGTCGTCGGCTCGACGTTCTGCCTCACTGGGTTGTCGTTCTTCATGTTGAATATGTTCGCCAGGGTGCTAAAAGCGAAGGACATGGGTTTGGACGTCGTCTGTGAAGATGACCCTGGTGTCGGCGTCTCCGTCGACGCCGGTGTCGGCGTCTCTGTCGGCGCCGGTGTCGGCGTCTCCGTCGGCGCCGGTGTCGACGTCTCCGTCGGCGGCAACGGTTGCGGTGACGTCGTCCTGGGCTGTTGGACGATGTCGTCGCCGTCGTTGCTGTCGTCGTTGCTGTTGTCGCTGTCATACCCGACATCAGCCACCTGGGCGATCGTGTTTTCGCTCGACTTCTCCGTCTCCGACGCCGTCGACGTCGATGTCGGCCTGCTGGCGCTCTTCGACTTCTGCCTGGGCCCGCGTCTCGTCCCGTAGATGTCGATCTCCACCTCGCTGAACGTGCCGTCGTCGTTGCGCCTCGGCGCCGGGTTGTGCTTATGCTTGCGCAGGTGCTGCTTGAACGTGTGGTAATATTTGGCGGCGTATGAACAGTCCTTGCAGCTGAACGGGTAGACGTTCGAATGGGACTTTCGGTGGCTGTTGAGCATCGACAGGTTCACGCAGGTGTACGTGCAATCCTCTTTGGTGCACTTGTACGGCTTCAAGCCGATGTGGTTCATCAGGTGGAAGCCCAGGTGGTGCCTGTACTCAGTGACGAACGGACACTTGTAGCAGTACAACAGCTTCTCTGGCTTCACGTGGATCGGTGTGTGAGCCCACTGCTCGATCTTCGTCACCGTTTTGAAGCCGCATTTTCTGCACGAGTACTTCTTCGGCTGGCCCTGGGCGTTGAAAATGGGCGTCCGCACCCCCGGCTCCTCGACATCGTTCTCATGGTCGTCCGCCGACGGAAACGCGATTTGCTCCTTGTGGATCTGCCCCAGCTGCTCCAACGCCGTGTTCACCATCTCCCGTCCTGTTTCCGTGATATGCCCCGCGTTGGCCGTCTCCACGGTCTCGTTGGGCGTGATGTGCAGGATCAGATGCTCCACGATCAGTCTCCTGGAAGATACGATGTATCGGAAGTGAAGGAATAAATTCAGCCTGGATCGTGCCGATCTGGTCTTTCTTCGTTCTTTTTGATCGAAGTTTATGGCGTAGCGATCGAACTTTTCAAGAACGAGTTCCCGAATTTATCTTTCTTCTCAAGTGGAAAGATTCCTTTTGTTCGAGAATACATAAACGGAAAAGTAAATATTCCCTTTGATACAATAATACAGAATAATATTTTCATATTTATTCGCATTATTGCGTATATATGCTCACTTCAATTAATATTTATGTTATTACTATTATTCATATCATAACTTAAGATTTTTTAATTTAGTAAAATAAACGTATAGGAACGTAATTTTGCTTGATAAATACTGAATTTATATAAGTGGTCCCTTTAATACGCTATTGAAAAAACACTGAGCTTTGCAACCTCTTTAAGGCTTAATTGAGGTTTTATTGAAGCTTAGTTGTGCGTTATTATTAGTAACCGTCAACGAAGATAGCGAATGTTGAGCTTTTCCGAACACCCGCAGGGAAGAGTGGAGAAACGAAATTTGATGGTAACAATCTAATCGTGGAATGGCATGTTCTTATCAAATGTGATGAAAATATCAATCATCGTTCTCATGAAGAAACGACTGACGTACCTCTGGACTATTTGGAACTTGCAGATCGAACATACGTACGGGCTGCTTGCGGAACTTTCCTCGTATTTCAACTTCTCCGTGGTGTCTTCTTGCGGTTTGGATTCTTCGGACTGCGGTTTGGATTCTTCGGACTGCGAGCTGTTACAAATTGGTACTTAGTACAATACAGTCGAGTGTTGAATAAGATTTTCGAACGGAATTAAAACGGGCTTTCGCATGCTCCAGCTACGGCAATTGCTGCTGCAGCTGGGGCTGTGAGATCATCAAGCGACGCTAAAGGAAAACAATTGTTCAGTTTACTTTTCTTCTTTCAAAAATAATAGTTATCTTGAACGAAGAATATTTTTTTCTTGACGATACTATCGAAATATATTAGAAAAGTTCAAATGATAATTATCATTTACACAAGAAAAAGGAATTTATTCTTTTTCCAAGAATATCATAAACTTTATCAAAGGAAAATTAAATTCAGCGGATTTGAACAAATTAATTGAAATTTTAGTGTTTTAATTTAATATTCTTGATTGAAGTAAACTTACTAGGTTTCAGAACATATTTTGAGTAAATTTGATGTTTATGATTTGGAATATATAAATGTATGAAATACTTGAAATAAGTATGTAATATTTACTTAAATATGCAGTATATATTTTTCTGAATGCGAGAAGACTCGGAGAAAAATCTAAAAACTGGGAGAAGGAAAGATAGAGAGGGATTCGGGGATTCTCGAATCAACGAGGGGGTCGCTCGATTACTTACCACGATTCCAATATCCCAAGCGAAAGTGGTTGAAGATTCGATGAAGCGTCTCCTGTCTTCAACGACATGTTGCTGTTACTGTTGCTGTTGTTTTTGTCGTTTTTCTTGGTTTAAACGCGCCTATAAAATTCCTCCTCGCCTGTTAGGTTTCTGTCTATCTTGCCGCGATCCTTAAAAAACAACGTCGTGTGGAATCATCCAAGGATTATAGGATCAGTCGTTGTTCGCTGAACGAGTGCTAAACGAAGAGTGCTCGACATTTCGTTCCTTATACGACGATTGTCTCGACCGAGAGGAAAAAGTCTCTTTGCTCTAGTTGTCCTTTTTCTCAGAAATGGACTCTTTAGAATATACCGTACTTTTATGGATAGTATATGAATGGTTTGCCGGCGGTTGTAAATTCGGGCAGATGTTAGCGAAAGTCATGCAACAGTCTGGAGAAGTGATTTCGATCTCATTTCGAATACGCAACAAACGCATGGGTGAAAAGGGATAATGGTTCTCTTGCCCTTTTTGTAAAAGAAACTAGGTCACTTTTCTACGCCTTGCAACATAAAATTATACCGAGCGTTTTGAACAAGGTCAGTTTTTTCGTCCTTTCTTTCCGCATATTTTCTCAGCAAGACTTCTGGGTCGGGAACTCTTTCACTTTGCGAAATACTAATGTTTACCTGCTACCATGTTGAACAATTTCACGCCTTTCAAATGTATGCAAAGTATGTTGAATAAATTCGAGGGGGTTTTTGACGAAAAATGCCAGGCCGATGTTTTCAAAGTTAAACGTAAATGGACTTTTGTAAAACTGTATACTAACGAGTGTTCAAAGTTTCTTCAATATTTTATATTCTATCGTTTATCTACTGTTATCTTAGCCGCGCGTAAAGGGTTCTTCCGGTCTCTAAAGATTATCTCATCATAATAACTTATTCAAAAAAACCATTAGTGACCATTTTTTAAGAGGGTCATCGAAAAAATAAAATGAAAAATGAGATAATTTATTTCTTCGTGAATGAGTTAACCCTTTTACAATAAAAGGATATATATGCAAAACGTATAATATAATGTAATTTATTTTTGTATTATTTTCTCAAGAGGAATATACTGATTTTTCCGTTTTTACTTAATAATAATAATAATTAGAAATAAATTAGGCACCTGCGATCTCCGGACGAGCGAAATTTCTCGAGCGACGAAATCCGATCGTTTCGACGTGTTATTCGCACCGTGCGATTCGACACATACTTAATATCTCGAAGGGTTACAAGATCCATTTTTATTCTGATTCACATGGCACGGGGCGACAGTTTGTAAAGGAAGCGGATTCAGGATTTGACTATAATGAAACTTTGAAATGCGATGACCTTGTCAACACGAATTTGTCAAGAAACCATCGGCGTAAAAGAGCGACCTGCATTTATTGCACTGCATTCTTTCGAACGGCCGATATAAGGCGTATCTAAATATGCAAATAGAGATCGATACATGACCGCTCGCTTTCTTTGCCAAACAGAGCTCTCTCTTTTTCCAAACTTTGCGTTATTCATTGCAAGAATACGAAATTCTCTGCGGTATTAGCCGGTATTGTAAACTAAAGGATTTATGTATTCTGCAAATATAAAATAATTGCCTAACGTAGAACAATCGTCATCGACGTTACCTCAACCTCGCAGGGAATTTCGCTCCGGAAATCCGTGGTGGTCTTTCCACCTCCAGGCGATCCTCGTCTCTCGTTCTTCCTCTCTTTCTCTCCCCTGGTTGCGTCTTCTCGTTCCTCTAATTCACACCCACGGAGATCGGCGTCAGGTGGAAAGCGACACAAAATACCTTCTCTTAAGATCGACGTCGATCACGTAAACAATCTGCGTAAGATGGACAGCACGAGGACACGTTAATTACGATATTTATATGTACACATATGCATCTACGCGATTGTAGTGTACATATATATGAGGAAATATATATATATATATATTTCTTTTTTTATTATATATATATGTATGTATATGTATATATACACAATGTGCAAAGACACGACGAATGCGACAGAATCCGTGCAAACGCTCGGCATCGACTGACATCGTCCGCGAATTCCCGAGTATTTGAAGTACCGAACCGAACCCTGAATACTGATGAGGGTAGCTACCACCTCTACTTGCTATTAGGGTCTCAGAGACCAGCCCTTATTTTTTGTCCAATCGTAGCAGGGCCACTACTCTAGTTCAAAGACGTTGCCGACGCTGGCGTTGTCTCGTTCCGCATCTCTTGCCAACCCTCTGTTATTTTTGTTTCTCTCGTTCGCTCGTTCTCTCGTTCGCTCGTTCTCTCGTTCGCTCGTCTTCTCGTTCGCTCGTTCTCTCGTTCACAGATACGCAGCCGCATTCTTCCCGCAAAAAACCAATATTGTTATAAAAAATAGTCGGAGTTAATAGGTTTTACGTTTTTTTCATGAATTGCCGAATCTTCTCTTTGGACTATTAGTGAATGCACCGTGAATGCACCAGTGCGGAAACGACACGTGGAGAAGTACATTGTTTAATAATAATAATAATAAGCGGGAAAATCCTCTGGCATGTATAATTAAGTGTATATTGCAGATGGATAGACAGCATGGAACGAGGAAATTATTATATATGAATACATTAGAAAGGAGCGAAATTATGAATAAACTAGAGATACAAAATGAAATAAATAATATAAAAATAAAGTGAAATAAAGTGAAATATTTTGCCAATAATTGATGTATCCATACGACAAATAATTAATATCATTTATTTTTGTATTAAACATCGGAGATAAATAAAATAGTAATTATAACAATAATAATTTTTATCAACGTGGAAAACTTTTATATGCCTGACAGATAATATCGCTGATACGGACAGACTAAAAATAAGATTTTTGGTGAGCTTTGTGAAAATTGTTGCTTAATATTCTGAAAATTTTGATAATCTGAAATTTTCCCATGACGGCTCTGTTAATCAAGAGGTAACCCGTTTTTTCTCTACATTTGCTCCAACTCTGGACGAGCGAGAAATCCATACTTATAACGCGCACAGTAATGGAGACCTCTTTTTTCTGTCTAGCATGGCACGTTTTCACTGCTATAACGAGAAAGGGTTAACTATGGCTATAGTTAACCCTTTCTCGAGAACCACCCAAGCTGGACCGGCAAGAAAGTGGCAGAAGGGTCTTATCGAGACGTGAGATATTTTAACTTCTTCCAAAAGCAGGGGCATTTTCTTATTTTCACGTGTAAGTAAAGACTGAGGATTACTGCGGACATTTGGCCGAAATATTCCGATATTAGAATAACTTGCATCAGCGTGTAAAGAATATTATAAATCAAATTCAGTAGTAACTAGTTAATCAGTCAAAAATCAAATTAAAAAGTTAAAAAGGATAACTATACCTAATTTAGTTAATTTCGAATGAATTTTAAGTGATTTAACTTTCGACTTAAATTAGTTATCTGAACATCTGAATCTGCTTACAATAAAGAATAAAAGAAATAAAAAATAATATCATCAGAACTTATTTGTAGTCTTTTTAAAGGCTAGTACTCATTTTTGCATAAAATTCTGTGCACAAAACGTATTTTTGATATTTTCTTTTAACCCTTTGCACTCGAGGGCTCCGCTATGGAGACAATGCAAATAACTTTCAGTTCATAACATAAGGACAAAGACAAATCGTAAAAACTATTGTGTATAGGATATTCCGCTCTTGCTATTTGCATTATCTCCATAGCGGAGCCCTCGAATTTGAAAACAAATTTTAAATGACTCCACTCTGGAGCCCTCGAGTGCAAAGGGTTAATAGACTATATTTTCAGTGTTTTACATAAATTTAATTAACGACGAAAATGTTATCTATGCAATAAAACACATATATGAATAAATAAAATACATATACGGTTTTGCATAATTAACTTTTAGCTTATAACTCAGTCAAAAATAAAGATTAACTTACCCAACCTTGCTATAAACATTAGGTTGTTTGATGAGTTCGTAAGGATTTTTGCGAAAGGTTCAAGGTCGATACTTTTATAATTGACCATAATTTTATTCAACTATTTTAACTAATTTTATTAACTATAACTTTATTAAATAATGTATCAGCCACCCTTTATTGATGACAAAAGCTATTAATATCGATTGTTTTCTTCGAAACGAGAGAAGGGAATTTGTTCTGTGCCCCGACTAGTCGCCCGAGGTATCTTTTTTGTTTACGAAAAATTCGGTGTAACATATATTTCCACTGCTCCGAGACAATCATGAAAGATTCTTCGAGCTCTCCTTTCTTGCAACAGCCTCATCAATAAAAGAATTCGCCATGTAAGTCGTTTTACAACAAAGGGTGTTGCGTGAATTATTTCCGCGTAAGAAAACTGGAAATTTTTTGTGTGGGGAAACCACTGAACTATGGTTTTTCATATTTTTTTTTATTTTTCTCGCCAGCCCCCGCGCCTGTACTTGCCAACAAGACCATCCGCCTCCAAAATAGTTCGATCCCATTATGCAAAATCGCCTTCAATGCTGATTCGTGAGGTTTCTCAGGAATTTCAGCCGGCAAAATCACGATCGCCTTATGTTGACAGTATGGGAATAAACAGCGTTCGTCCAAGAACTGCATCGACACACGCTTTATATTTGTCCTTCATATTTCGGCGAAGCTGTGAAGAATTGCCCGTGTTACATTATATATACCGGTGCTGCGGGAAGATAGGAGGTGTTCAGACAAATTCGACGTTTTATGCGACGAATAATAATGACGGGTACGGTTTTGTTTGACACATGAATCTTTCACGAATGGAAGTTTGATCTTAAAACCGATGACCAGCTGCCAATTTGGTACAGCGCACAAATAAGTCTTAAATCAAGAATAGATATTCTCATATGTATAAGCAAGAATATTATAATATTTTTAAAAGATTTCCAGTCTTGAATTGAGTTTAAGTAATATTTGCATCAATAAAAATTGAATCAAATCAAGACTAAAAATCTTCTAACAGCATTATAATATTCTTGTTTATATATGAGAATATCTATCGTTGATTTATAAAACTATTTTTTTCTGTGTAGGAATCGTAACATCGGACATTTCCACCCGGTAGCATTAAATATAATTTCTGACTGATGCAAAAAAAGGATTTCGTCCATTCGAGCACGATTCAAGCTAAGATTTCGGTAGAATCTATACGCAGAAGCCTGCGAAATTTGCGGGTTCTAGTTTTTACCATCATAGTTTTTATCGCCGGTCCTTCTCTCGATTCGACCGGACACAGAGGGAAAAATGAGAATGGAAGAAAAAATGGGAAGAACGTGTCAGAAATCAATGACTGAAGAAGTCAGGGTTGAAGAAGTCAGGGAAAGTGAGTCTAATTTATATACTACTCCTTTTTTATACTTCTTGTACAATCCTTCATTCATTTGCATTTCTACCCTATTTATGTGACAGAGCATAGGGCATTCTTTCTTTACTGTTACAAGGGGTTTTACGAAAGTCACACGTTTAAAATGTTACAGTTTCATTTTGATTAATGAATCTTTTGCTCGTAAAAGTCAGTAGAGCACGGTAGAGTAATGCGGCCATTTCAGGTCAAGTCAGTTCGGTAACGCGCATAAAGGATGCATCTGTAGCGTGTATAATTTAGCAAAATCTAATTCGGACACTTTTCTACGTACGGTTTGAAAGGATTCTTCAAGGAAAAAATAACAAAAGTATCATTCATTTTTCACTGGACTTTCGGTCAACGAGGTAACGGACAAAACATGAGTAAAGATGCATCTGTAACAAAATTTCAAGGCTAAGGGAGAAATTTTCACTTCACTATGCGTGCCGGTCTTGACGTGGAATTTTGAAAAGAAAAAAATGTTTAAGTATTAAAATTTTCTTGTGTATGTGTGTGTATGTGTGTATTGCCAACTTTTAATTGTTACTTCAATGTAAAGTTAACATAAAACTAATATTTTACCATTTTCGTGGTGTTGTTATTTTATGTGCTATATCAATATTTTCTTTCGAGAACAACGCAGATGTTATTAAAAATTATCATTATTTATATTTAATTTACATTTATTTTTTCAATACATAAATTCGATATTATTATTGATTCGTAATTATTAATTGTAATTCCTATTTTGGCGCTTCGCAATCTGTAGCTATGAATTATATTTCCCGTTCGAGAATCCTTTAACACGTTGAGTGCGACGTCAGTCCCTCGGGACTGACAGTGAACTTGCCGTTCAGGCGGCGTCGGTCCCTGGGGACTGATAGTACACTTTTCGTTCAGGCGGCGTCACTACCTGCGGACTGACTTTGTGGACTTTTCGTTTGGGCGACATTGGTGCGTGAAATCAGCATTGGCAAGGGTTACAAAATTAATGTTATAATTTTAATGGAGTTTATTAAAACATTTTAAGCAAAGGTGTGGATAAGATTTGTACATATTACAATAAGATTGATCGTCTCTTGGAGGTCACCTTCTTGCCGTTCCCCTTTCCATTATCTTCTGTTTATAATTTGTATACTTATGCATTGGCTGCACCATCCCACGGTAAAGTGAAACAAAGTAATCTTCTGTTCATACTCTCTATCCCAAATACCTCTTGAGCGCTCGGCATCAATTCCTCGCTCGCTGCCGCCTGAGCGGAAAGGATAGCAAAATCGGCGCCGCGCTCAAAGTGTTAAAAGTGCCGTTTATTATTCAAAAGGTGAGAAAAACAGTGTCCGAGTTTACTTTCAGTATTATCCCATTACCTGAAAAGGTTTCATAAGTTTTCTGCCACGTGACTGGCAAGCTTCAGTGTCCGTTAGTTATGCGTCACCTTTCCCCTAAAAAAGTCGTTGGAGGATTACGGGAAAAACCCAGTCTCCGCACAAAAGGTTTGGAAACAATTCGATCATTTTTATTAACCATTGACCTTTGTCGGCCAAAGGTATCCGGCAGAGTTGTTGGTTTGTCGTAAAAAATTTGCGTGGACGGTAAAAAGAACGAGAATGCGGAACTAATTTCTCGGCACTCAGTAGGGATTTTTTTCCTTTCGAAAACCAGTGTGAAAGATACCTTACGTTACGTTAAAAAAATCACGCGGTAGCACCGACCACATAAAGACAAAAAATAAGAAGGCACGTCAACAATAACACCGGCAATCTTGGGCCAGGACTGCGTCCTAAATCACTCATCAGCTTTCGCCGATGATCTTGATTTACGTCGGGTGCTGATAAAAAAATAGATCTTTCAATTCGCTGAAAATTCAGTAGAATAATTGCAAATTTATTACACACGCTAAATACAATCACGCTCTCGTGTTCCTCGCTACAAATACGTGTCAGGTATCGGTAAAGGATAAAGTATCGTAGACCACACTTTGACGCTGAAGTTGCGAACGTACTGCCAAGGCACGAAGTCCAACGATCCCATGTATTCCAACCAATACCGCGCCATATTGTTGTAGACTTTCTCAGCCCACGTCTGCAATGAGGAATTTTTAACCGAGACTCGTTCAGTTTAATTATTCATCTCGGTGAGCGACGAATCGACTACTCGCGTTGAATTCACTTTGGAAAGTGGCGGTTAATCTGATGAATGAAAAGGTGTATTTATTCGTTTTGATGTTACCCTTTCATTCTGTATACTCCACGCCTCGATTAATTTGTTCCCCTGCGCGTTCGCCAGTTTTCGGGCTTTTCGCAGGTAAAATCGCTCGGCCGACTTGTGACCCCGAATAGCATTCAAGTAAGCCGTCAGCAAGTACAAACACGGTTTCACCACCGTCACGTAGTCGGAGGCCTTGTCGAGGCGTCCGATGATCTTGCGAACATCTCGGATTCGATCGAGCAACCCGTCCGAGTGCTTCGTGTTGACACAGCGCAACAACATCAGCAGGTAATACTCCAGTCCCTGTGGAGATTCAATATAATTATAATATGATAATATATTATCATATCATCACCAGATTATTTTTTTTCACGTTCTTAATTAAGAAATAATGAAATATTGAAAGAAAAACAACAATAAGATTGTGATTGCGCATTTCTTTAACATTGAAACTTGCCTCTCGTATATTCAGAAAATTCGGGCAAAGGGGAAACGTTGACTTTACCTTGTAGCACGTGAAAATCCGAGAAAAGTCGCGATCACGATCGATACCTTCTACGTATGCATCTGCACTGTACGCGATCGTATCGGTGAGCGTGTATCCCCTGCGTCGTTGCGTCATTCTCCAATTAGTCGGGATTATCTCATGTTTCATCGTCGTTACTTGAGTTATTGATATTTTTCATTTTCAGATATCGAAGGCGACTGAGCGCCGGATACTTACATCCTGAGCTGGTATATCCACAGGCACGTAAGCAAACGGTGACAGCTCTGTGGGTCGCGCGTCACGCAGAATTTCGATCTGTAAGCTGCGCGAATAATTATATTTAATTCGCGAAGCTCAACGTGTGCTCTTGAGAGTTATCTCGTCTTTTCTTTTCTTTACCGATGTGCTTCTCGTAATAATCGAGAGACGTCTCGTAGGACTGCAGGAGTATACCGGCGTCGATCAAGAGCTCCAAGGAGAGAGCGTGATACCACGTCTTGGCGGACAGATCCACGTCCTCCTCCGCTAAAAAGTACAGCTCTTCCAGCAGGTCGACAGCCTGATTGATGCGTTTCGTCCAAAGCTGTTCGATTCGTGCAATTAGAAAATTATGGGGGAAAATTATGCAATTCTGCGAAAGACGACGTGCGCGACATCCCGAACGATGCAAAGTATCGGAAGTTCTTTGAGAAAAAGAATTCTTCTGAAGATCTTCTAAAAGTAAATTACAATCCAGAAATAAAAATAAATATTACATATATGATGGCAAACATTAAAATAAAACAAAAGCACACACATTAATGGAAACATAAGATCAATAAAAACAATAACTAATGATAAATACATCTTAATAAAAAATAAGTAATCGAACAAGAAATAAGATACTCGTAGGTAGCAACAAATAGGACAATCGACAGGAATGAACAGAAATAGATTAGAATTCGGACATTTGTGTGCGCGTCGTTCGCACCATATCGACGCGAGCGAACGTTTCGGGCGAGACGGCCGCAAGCTTTACCATTATTTCGATTAATGACGGCATAATGGCCAACGACAAGTCATTCAGGTGTAGCGTTCGGGATATCCTCAAAACCTTAACGCCCATGTCGACGGCATCCTCCAACTCGCCTTTCAACGCTCTGCTTTTTCGAAAAGACTCCGAGACGTCAGAATTGTGTCCCAAACTCGTCCCTTTTGGAAGTAATGAGACGCTCAAAGCTGGAGCGTCGGAACTACGCTAAACTCTACCTGACTTGATACATCGCGAAGTAGATCCTCGCCAACATCGCTATTTCCTCGGCGTCGTTCCAGCAGAGCTTCGTCTCTATTACGGTCAACATCAGTTTCTCGATGCATCGTGTTAACTCATTGTCACCGGTGCGACGTGAAATTTGAACGGCTGCTAGATATATTTCGCCTTTCTCCAGGAAGCCGTCGAAGCTCGAGAAGCTCACTTTTAAACTTCGCATGGCGAACATCCTCGCCGTTTTCAATTTGTCTTCCCTCTACAATGTTCGAGCGAGATTATCGTGTTTTAATTTGCGTGTAAGAGAGAGAGAAAGAGAGAGAGAGAGAGAGAGAAAGAGGGAGGTGCTGATAAAAAATTATTTCGAAGCTACGTAATGTTGACTTCAATCTTGTGATAATAATCTTTCATAATAATAATGATAATAATAATCTTTAAATAACCTTAATGTAAATAATAAATAAATAAATATAGTACAAAATAAAATAAATATAAATATAATAAATATAAATATAATCTGAAAATGAATTATGAAGTAAAATATTAAATTAATATTATTAATAATAATAATATTTTATATCCGGCAAACATGATAGTTTTGTCTGACGATCGTTTTTGTCAATGTATGTGAGTCAATGCATCACCGTGAGCGCGAGGCAAAGTCGTCGCGTGTAAGACGATAATTCCAACCCCTTCGCGGTCAGTCGCGCTGATTTCTCGTTGGTCTCACGACGAGGAGGGTCACGCAACTTGCAATGAATTTTCACGGTCATTAGTAGGCCGTAGCACACGACTTTGTGCATTTTCAAAGGGGCACCTTGAAGCGTCATCGCCGCCGCGTAGTACCTTTTAGCCTGAGCGTAGTTCCCCAGCGCGGTGTGCGCGTCGCCTGAGAGACGCGATTAAGATTAATTAGATCGGTATTCATAGTCGTCAGGTCTTATATCTGAGGCCGTCTTAAGTTCATCTTCAGACGCATCGTAGCCAATGAAACGTACAGTGTCTAAAGCTGAACTCAAGACAATCTTAAATATAAGATCTAAGAATACTACAAATATCTCCCTTAGTGTATCAGTACATAGTGCGGGATTTCATGTTAGAAACTTACTACTTAAATTTTTGTGTTGCTTCAACATGGAAAATATATTAAAAAGTAATTTTACACAAATATGTTAAGCTAACATATTCACTTTACCAACATATTACTTTTCTTAACATATTCACCTTATTAAAGTAATAGAAAAATTTCGGCGGAGCCTTTGCGACACACAATTTTTTACTGTGTAGAAATATTTTTCAAGGGGATGGAAGTAATTTTAATTTTTTATATGTAAGAGACATTTTCTGCAATAATTTGTATCGAAATATAATATATATACATATTGATATTAGGTGCGATGTAATATAATATAATATGATATGATATACCTGTTAAAGCTAGAATAAGTCCCCTATTCTTGGCGATCTCTCCCACGTCATTGCCGATCTCGGCAGTCTTCTCGTTCCTCTCGGCGGCGATCGTGAGCAGCTTGATAGCGTACAACGGTTGGGCGATTTGAATCAACCCGGAGCTGTACTCCATCAGAAAGTCGACACTCTTCCCCACCTCGCCTGAGGATTAATTCAACGCCGATAATTACGCAACGTCGACAATTACAAAGCGTTACATTGATTCGTCGATTGGAGTCGTTGACCGCGGAGAATTGAACGCGGCAGAACTCTCGAGATCTCTCAACCCGAAAACTCTGAGGGAGAAGACAGAGCAAATAAAATAAAAAGAAAAGGAAACACCCGACCCTACACGATCGGAAAATTTCGCGAGAAATCCGCACGTTGCGCTGATCAGTCAGCAGCAGCGGTGGAAAAGGGAACAAAACCGTAATTTCACCGCTGTTCTCGATGTGCTGGTGCAACCGCCAGAAGAGGCAACTGATGATATCGTTGCATCGACAACTGCGGTAATCTATGTAGTCGAACGTGTCCAAGCAGCTCGACTGGCTCTGTTCTCTCGTCGCTGCCGGTGCGATGCTCGAGGAAGCGCGTCTCCAGAATTTCGAAGGTCTGCTCGTCGAACGTTCCTTGATCTCCTCGCTACTCCGTGTTACCGTGGGAATATCTGCCCGGAGAAAAATGATTATATATGAATTTTGTCTCTATATTATATCATATATTACTTTATATTATATATTTTATATTTATTATATAATATGTTATGTATATATTATTTTATGTGATTATACGTAAACATTTTTTCTCAGAATAAAAACAAGCTCTTTTGATCGGCAAATGAATCTCGCGCCGGATCCTTCCATTCGATTTCGATTCAGTTTAATTTCAATTCTAAACCGACAGTGGCCGACCACCTTCGTCCACGCCGATGACGTCGAGATACGTCGGCATGATCGACACCCTGTGAGTGTCGTCCGCGAATTCTCGCGACTTCACCGATGACAACGAGATAAATCCGTTTCCTCTCGCGATGGACAATCTTTCCTCGTGCTGTGGATCCGCGAATAACATTCCGCGACGTATCAACGATGTTCTTTTCATTGAGTGTATATTGTTCTTCCTCTGAAAGGAAAATGCGGGAAACAGCGAACGGATAAGTCCTGCCAGCGATAAAAATATACACACTTCTTTTGTGTGTAGGTGTGTGAGCGATTGAAATAAATCGGAAACTCAGATCGGGAAAATTTCGGGGAAGAGGAAGAAGAGAGCGTGTTAATGAATTAACTTTTGTAATCTCCCGCTCCTCACCTTCGAGAACGCGTCTTCGCCGGGAGCTCGAAGAAAAGCGCCGGCGCCGCAGGAGCTGCATTTTTGAGCTCTTTCGCTGTAAATCTCGACCGCTCTCGCGTGATGCTGCCGCTTTTGCTCATCTGACAGTGCGTCGTACACCGTCTTGCGAAACAGATTGACCTTAAATGCCAACGTTTCGCAGTAAACGCCGAAGGGCGAATATATATCGACGATGACCTCTGGGAAAGGGAAAGTCGTGGATACCGTCGTGGATACCGATGAAACACACAATCCTTAATTCACTAAAAATCGTAATTATTTCGGAAACGTTTGCAATCAGAGGACCATCCGTCAATTTCGGGGGTCTTAAATTAATACTGTCGTTAAAAAGACTAAACGAAACGAATGAAAATTAAACAATTTAAATGAATTAGAAAAAATGGATAAGGGAAATTAAGAATGCTTTGAAAATCTAAAGATTAAATTATTTCATATATTGATCGAGTAATTTTGTTCAATATAGAAAGGACACCGGCCTTCAGCTTGACGATTCACCGACTGAGAGTAATCGATTGGACACGGAAACGATTACACTGCATATCGACAGTTACGATAAACCGGCTGATTTATATTCAACCGCAGTCATCAAATATCGACTCACGATGCGTTAAGTGGCAACTGCAAGTCACCAAGTGGTGCATGTCGGAGAAGGTCCGCTGCTCCTTCAATATGCAGAGGACGAGGTCCTCGGCGTGAAAGTCCAGTCGCTGAAACGAGCCGCACTCCAAGATCCTCATGCGAATCATCTCCGAAATTGCGACTGTGATAACAAACACATATGTAACGTTCGTTTAATCGCTTGTCAAAACTCATGAAAGTTTCACAAAGTCACATTTACAGTTTCATTAACGTTTAAATTAACAGATTGGTCTGTTGATCTCATAGAGATCTGAGATCGGTAAAAAATTGCAACCGTTTTTATCAAAGACTCGGATATAACTTGCAATTAATTACCGAAAATATGAAAGTAAATCTAATTTTGAAATATCGCTTTCTTCCATTTTTGCTGGGAAAATCCGAAAAAATCCGTAGAAAATTGAAAAAAATCAGGTTTTTCCCTTTTTCATTCATCCACGGAACAAACACGAAAACAAAACTCGCGGGGGAAATGAAAAAAATCCGGATTTTTATCAAGCCTTTAAAATTAGAAAAGTGAAATTTCATATTAACACATTAACGGCGGGCGATCTCGACGAAAGTATGCTAGGTAGCGCGGCGGCCGCCCGCCTCGTTTTTCGGCCTAGAGCGGGCGATATTTTGTGTGATCATAAAAACTTTAAGGTACAGTCGAGCTAAATCGTATTTACTACGACTCCCGCCTTTAAGCAGCAGTCGGGCTAAATCGTAGTTACTACGACTCCCGCCTTTAAGCAGCAGTCGGGATAAATCGTAGTTACTACGACTCCCGCCTTTAAGCAGCAGTCGAGCTAAATCGTATTTACTACGACTCCCGCCCTTAATGTGTTAATTGAGCGATTTTATACGGATGGAAAATAAGCGTCTCGTAATTGGCCGCTAATTAAAGACTGAAGGAGCTCACTATTAGCGGGGTTATTCTCATTGTCATCCTCACGCGGCATCGCTCTCAGCAACACGTTCCGTTTGAACACCGGGCCCAATGTCGCGGCGCATGTGATGAAGTTTCGCTCGTACGGACTCATCTTCTCATAGATCTTGCACATTAATTCTGGGGACCAAGGAAATGCCTGGTTTGACGTTCCCTGACGTTTCTGCATTTCACTCGCANNCCCCCATTCAGTTCACAAAAATTTTATCGTTTACTGCAGTCTCTACTCTCCTATTTTTGCTTCTTTCCCCTCTTTATATTTTTATCTCCGCTTTAAATTTCAAATTCGAATTTTCGACCTATTGAAGGACTTATAATTATTTCCAGAAATATTTTGTTACCGAAGAATCAATCCGTCTATTTTCTAGCGGTCTCAGATTGATACAGCAGTCACTTTTATCGAAGACATAGAGAAGAAGACATAATCGTCAATTGAGTATCAATTGAAAATAAGAACAATGCATCGGATTAAGAAGCGAGAATTGTGACAAGACTCGCCTTTCATGTCGCGGTCTGTTTCGGAGATCTCGTCCGAGTAACGCCCGTTTACATCGCACACGTCCAAGTGACTCATCTGCGACCAGGGCAGAGGTGGTGGCAGTTCCTGCGGTGTCAGGTCGGCTGGCAGTCTCGTGAGCATACGAACGTCCGGGAAGACGAGGTCACGTTGACTCGCCTCGCTCGGCGTTATCCTAACTAAGTCCAACGCCTTGTTCTGCAGCAGCGACGTGAGATACGTCTCGCACCATCCGATGTGGCCTTCTGTGCAGGTACGCAGGGTTCTCGACGGGAGAAGGTGTCAATGTATCACTTAACGCTTAAAGAACTGCTGGTGGAGACATTTGTCTCCCGATAAGAATTATTCGACGCTTTTGCGAACCCGGGAGCAAGCGTTGGAAATAGAGAAGTCGATGAAACTTTCGGATGTACAATCAGGGAAAAATCAAATAAACGAATAATATCATAAATAGACATTATCGGGGAATAAATGATATATATATGTGTGATTAAAAAATATATAATAAAATAAAATGAAAATCCAACGAAATTAATAAATATATTACATGTATAATAAATATTTATTAATTGTAATGTATACAACCATATAAAAGATATGATAAGATAATTATATATGTATATATAAGACACATAATTTTATGTATATATATAATTGAAAAATTGATGAAAATATTTCTTTTTAATCCTTTTGTCCCTATAATTAGCCGTTTTAACTTCGACGAGTTTCTTACGGAATCCATTAGACGCGTCGCGACAAGATACCTGCTCAATTCTCTGGATATCGCGAGGACATTCAGAAATTGACAAGCAAGCGTCGGAAGCAAGTCCGGATTCAGGCCATTCAGTGTTCGCTTCATCAGCCTCTTGTCTTTATGGATCATCGATTGCACGGAAGGCGTATCTGACCGGGTGTTCGGCTCTTTCGTCAACATTGTCATCGCCATGACAATGTGGTCGTGGTCAAGGACCGAAGATAAAAGTTGCCAGGACCCCTCATCCATGTGCTGAACGTCGTCGAGCAGGATGCAGATCTTGGTTTTGGACTAAAAAAAAAAAACAAGAATGAAATTAGCATTAAAACTCGAAACTAAGCATGTAAAATCAGAATTAGTATTCCAAACGAAAATCAGAATGAAGATCTTGGTTTTCAACTGAAACAATTGACATCAGAATTACGTTAAACAATTGAGACCAGCTCTTCCTGCCGAGAATTGACAATCAGAATTAGATTCAGTATTCTGAACTGGACTTGCGAGTCTTAAATTGATAGAAATTTTTTTACGTACCTGCTTCAATATCGCCTCGAAGATATCGTTGGTCTTTTCGCAACGTCGCCAATCAGACTGGGCGGAGTAAGCCTCTGACAGAGGGAAGCATACTCTCATCAGGTCATTGAGATAGCAGAGGTCCTCGGGCGCGACGATGCCGGCCAGTTTGACGAGCAAGATCTTTTGACGCTCCTCGATCGTTACGCAGTCCTCAGCTTCCAGTAACTGCGAGGAAGGGATTTCAGAAGCTCGCTTCCGTCGCGAAGCACAAAGAAGGGAAGAGCGAGAGGGACCGGCGTTTCACCTGCAGGATAACGTGATATGCCACCGCGTTCGTCTTCTCCGCGTAGGTGACGTGGAGCGAGAGCTCGATCGGCCGTATTTGCCGGTCGCGGACGCTCGCGACGAAGGCGTCCAACAGCCTCGACTTCCCGGACCGGTCGCCACCCTCGATGGAACAAACGGTCGATTTGATAATCTCGGCTATTCCGATCCTCGGAGGAAGAGGAGATTCAAAAATCGTCACCTCGATCAGCATCCCGGAGTAACTCCGTCCGGCCACTCTGATCTCGTCCAAGATGTCGTCGAAGTCGTCCAGCTCTTGCTGCCTGCCCAGGATTGGATAGCAATATTCCGTGGACTTGATGACGTGAGGATCGTCCATTTGCCTACTCAAACGTCGCGCGAAAGGTGTGACGGGAAATGAATTTCTTTTCTTTTTTTGTCCGACGACCGTTCTTCCTGCTAAATTTTCCAGGTAAAACGAAGGAAACATTCGAACTTACGTCGCGTCGCCGAGGTATTCGTACACCTGGCACTTCTCCGACGGTCCCAGCGTCTTCAGACCTCGCGGGCGAAACCGATTCTTCCTGAGACGGCTGTGCAGCACGGTGTCGTAGTCGCAGGAGATCTGCGTGGGCAAATCTCGAGGTGAACTCCTCGGAATAACGGCGCCAAGGAGAAGATAAAAGGCTCGATGGACTCGTGGATAGGAATGCGTTTTTAAAATCAATCGCTCCGTTAAACTGATTGCCAGTATTTTATGTAAAATAGAAGAGTAAATTCTATATATTTTTCTATCTAATTCTATATATTTTTCGTTGCATCATGTATTATTTTATATATTATTGATCCGTATCGTGCATGTCTGCGCTTACACATATGTAGAATATATTAAATAGGCAAACCGATTATTTTGCATGTTTCGCACGTGTGTTATATTCGTTTCAGGTAAGGGATCGTGAAAGATGCGCGGCACACGTGTGTGACGCGTGTGACGAAAATGTTAAGGTGGGCCTGGTCGGAACAAACGAACCGCTAATTACCATGTCGTAGGAAATATCCATTATACCGGCGGCTCTGTTGACAGCCGGCCCGATGACGGTGTAATGCTTTCGCAACGTGTTCCCGACCACACCACAATAGGCTGATCCTACAATTAAACGCGATCAATATATATATATATATCCATTATGTGTACCAATAAATAATAAAAATAAAAAGGATCGAAGTCGGAGAAGAAGGAAAAGAAGAAGAAGCCCAGTCGTACCTGTTGAGACGCCGACGGATACGTCGTAAATCCAGGCGATGCTCTTCACCATCCGCAGTAATTGCATTGCGCAAGCGAGGCCATGTCCACAAGCCTTGTCGACGTTCATTCCTCGTTGTTGATCATCGGGTTGGCGCCCGCTTATCCCGAAAACAACGCGGAAGAAGAGTCTCTTCTCGTGCAAATGTATTGTGTCGATGCGGCCTGCGTATTGCGCGACCACGCTGAAAAACGAATGTTACACATTGCTGCTCGCTCTGTCGTTTGCCGTTAAATATATAATACATTAATATTTACAGAAAAAATCGCGTTATTTTCTTCAATCCTTCCCTCAATAAATATTTCATAATTATTCGTTTATTAATACATGTATGTTTGCACAGGGTGAGGCAATAATTATTGAATGCTGCCGAAATATTAGAGTAGAAGAAGAATTTATCAGAAAATCCATCATATTCTACAAATATAAACTTTTTCTATCCGTTCATCCAATCCGTTAATAAAATATTTTTATTCTTCGGAAATATTCAAAGTGGTAATTACCGACCCACCCCTATATTACATTGAATCATATTGGTTTATTGAATTTTTAACATAATATGATTTATTCAATCGTATAGATTTTGTATATTTATTATTTTACTTGTGCACAAGTAAGAAGCACTTATCCGCCAGGAGAAGCAACTCTTCGCCCGTATACTTGTCGGCAACGATATCGAGGGACACCGTGGTGACGTGTCTGATCACCGTCAGAAACTCCAACGATAGACCCTTTTCGATCTACAAACGATGAGAGAGAGAGAGAGAGAGAGAGAGCATTGAAATCTAAATAATTTTTTGTGAACAACAGTGTTCTATCGTTTTACATTTCCTGAGCCGATACGACTCGCAGCGAAGGATCACCTGTTGGATCACGAACTTCATCAGGTAGCTCTTCATCAGCATGTTGAAATTTGGTTCCGCCATCGTGATCACGGAGATCGCTGGCGGGCAAAAGGAGGAAAGAAACCGTTCGGTGTGCGAACGACTTCGTGCACGATCTTTCTATCTCGCTGTATTCGCGATAACTTACCGATACTGGGAACTCTTTTCTTGATGAGAGCGATCATCGATTCGGAGCGGAAGTCCTGGTCGGTGAACGTCGTACGCAACTTTAAAGACGGCTCGCTCGTGGAATCCGAGATAGATCTGTCTCTCATGTAGATCGATTTGGCCCTCGGCTTCACGTCTCTTGACTTTTCGTCTGGTCTCGCCAACGTCTTGATAATCTGCGAATGTTAACCTTCTGAGTGCAAAACGCTACGCGGAGAGAATAAAGTCCGAATTAACCGAATTAAATACACCCAAAGGCGTTTTGGCCGAAGGAGACGGAAATTTCCCCGCCGGGCGATTTCTCGTAAATGAATAAATAAAGATGCGTTCACATCGCTCGTGAGAGGTCGAGAAACACCGCGGGGTCGAGCGAGGGTCAATCGACGGAGCGGGAAAATTGTTACAACAACTAAAATTCCTTTGCCGGAGGCGACGACGACGACGACACACATCGTGGAGCAGAGGAAAGAATTCATAAAGGCTACGAATAATGAATAAAAAAGTTGGAATAATAGCATGAGGGGGAGAGCTTCGAAAAACTTGGAGTCTGAGGCGGCCCAAACGCGAAAGTTGTCTTTTTAAAATGAAACAGTTGTTATGGTTTCGTTGCTTGTTGCGAGTCACCGCGCGATATATGCGCTTTTCGAGTCTCAAATTAGCGTTCTCTGCGCCAAAAATACACATCGAATGACTTTGCGCATTCCGCAACGAGAAATTATTCAGTAAGCGACCCAGGTAGCACAGTGACGTCAGAGATGTCATGTTGATGTCAATGTTGCCGTTCTCTAATGTCAGTGTACTACTTGGAGATGTGTACTGAGAAAAAAATACTTAAGAATTTATTATGGGAGATATAAGGTTTACCTCGCACAAGACTTGTTTCGTAAAATTTATTTTCTTTCGTGAAATAAAATTGATTTTGCGAAATAAGGTTGATTTCATGAAATAAGGTTGTTTTTCTGCGAGATAAAGTTTATTCTCTCCTCGGTGTATACCTTGACGTTACGCAAGTCTTTGACGACATACTCGTAACGACTCGGCGTACAATGCCGCCAGGCGCTGAACGACAGTACTACGTCGTTGGGCTGTGCTACTTTTCCAGCGTACTTCAAATCGCAGATCGCCGAGCCCTGGACCACGAAATCCCGGACCTCCTCGTTGCCGACCACGCAGAGCGTCACGTCGCCGGCCGAAATCGCGATGTTCGCTGTGCAAGGAGCGCTCATGTGTGCATGTGTATACGTGTATGTGTGCGCTTATGCGCGACGTAATTGATTCACAGAGGGAAGATTGAAGAGTGGTTTTGAAGGCTCGAGAAAAAAGGAAAGGAAAACTGGTAGAAAATGGTTGCTTCCCAATTTTTTTTCCCGCAGATTTCTTCGGTTTCTGCCGCAAGAAAACTTAGTGGTTGGTAGAAAAATTCGTTAAGAAGCATTCACGTGTGTTCGGTTGAAACCTGTGACGTGAATTTTTCCTCTAAAGAAGGTGAAAACGGGAAAAATATGCGGAAAAGTGGGGAGAAGCCTGACTTTTTCCGATCCTTCGAAACTATAGAATTTATCCATTTATTTTTGTTTAATTAATTAATTAATTTTTAAGTTATTTATTTACTAACGAAGTTTCTTCCCTTTTCTTTTTTTACCTTTGGGAATGTAGCCGTTGCGATTAGAGTCTCGGATACGAATCGCGCACTCGATCACGCGTTGCACGGTGTCGAACGTGAATTGGTCGTCGCGTACTTTCCACGCTGCCAGCAATCCTGTCGCTGCGCTTGGCAAATTTTTATTCGTTTCGGGAGAATAGTACAGCTTATTAAGACGGGTGTGTCGGTAAACGAGCGATTAACGACGAGGAGGTCGCTCGAATATTCGCCGCTCGTTCACCGACTCGTCTCATCGTAACTTCCGCACCGGAAAGCTTCAATATGTCTCCTTCGTTCTGGTATATCTCGCGCGCGACTCCGCCGATGTAATTGTCCAATATCGTCATGAACTCCAGACTGCCTATATTTTCGTCCTGAATACATCTCGTGAACAACGTCGAGAGCCCTATCGCGCAGAAATGTTCCATTGAATTAACATTCACATTTTTTCATTAATTTTCAGTTTTAGTCGAAAGCCTCAAGTATCAAATTTCCGAAGAAATTATTATTTTCCTTTAATATATTCGAATCAATATTTATATTTATAATTGATTTTCAATTTCAGCTATCAAATTTCAGACAACAATATTATTTCGAATTTAATGTTTAGCTTTAGTGATAGTTTAGCTAGTGTTAGCTAGTTTAACTTTTACTAAACTTATCTATTTTGATACTTTTAAATCAATTAAAATTAATATTGATATCTTTCGACAAATCTCTAATTCACTGAATGTGAGAAGGAAGTATTTTTGTAGGATCTTTGAGGGTATACAGGCGTCGATCGACAGACCCGAGGTGTTCAGCAACAGTAGAACGGCGCGAAAGTTTCGCGTGCTCTTCTTCGACAAGACGATCCCGCGTAAAATCTCGTCGGATAGGAAAGTCGCCATTAGATGAATCTGCTCATCGAAATCTTGCAGTTGCAACGCCTGGAAAGATCGGATCGGGAAAGAAAGAAGGGGATTTCTCGGACGGTAAAATTGAAATTCGCGATCCGATCGTGAGGGAATGAAAAACGAGGGTGAACAAAGCCGGTGAGACATAAATCGAACCTCTCTCAATGTGAATCTATCCTTTTGGAAAATAGCACCGAACAGATTCGGTATCCAGGATGTAATGTAATTCTCCTCGTCCATTACGCTGTATGCCACAATGGAACAGATGTGATTATAATGTGTCTTCTTCGATAAAACGGCCGAACTATCGAAGGATGTCGAGGATAACGCGCGTTCGTCCTCCGGAACGAATACCCGACTGAATTTGTCAACCGTCCGGTGCACGCAATTGGTCGGGACGGCTGCAACAGTTTTTTTTTACATACTTCAAACACATAAAAAATGACGACGAAACGTGTTCGTGTGATTTATGACATGCGCAATAGATGGTCAGACAGCTGTCAAAATTAAATATGCATATGTCAAAATTACATGTGTACGTAATTTTGACAACTGTCTGATTATCTACCACGCATGTTCGTAGATCATAGTTTCGTCGTATCAAGGTGAAAAATAGATTTCTTTTACGTTTTCTCATGAAGTAACTCTTTAAGAATCTTTCGCTAAAAGACGGAGATCGGAATGTTATTTCTTATGTATATGATATTGAATAATGGAAACAGAATCGGAAGCGAAGCTTTTCTCTTGCAGTTCAAGACACGATTAAACTCACGTATGAAGATCCGTCAGAAGGTAATTTACTGATAAGATGCATGGGAAATTTCACGCAAAATGCGAAGGAAAGCTTTCGTCAATTAGTTCGAAAAATCCTCCCCGGTTTGAAAATTTTGCAAATTGCCGTATATTTATTTGAATCACGCCTCCTTAATTTATTTCCACAACTTTGATAGGGAGGGGGAAAATTAAACGAATCTCTCGTTATTAATAATATACACATGTAAATTCTGAATATGTTTAATTGTACAATCATTTATAAAAATAGTCACTTTTTCAGTCAGACTGATTTTGTTGCTAATAATATATCTCAGATCGACCTTAATTCTCGCATGCATACCGACCAGAGAAATAATCGACATAAACGATCGCGTTGCCAATGATTTGTGCCGTCGGTTATCAGTCTCAACGCGCGAGACGTATTCCTCGTTACAAATAACGATCGAAAATAAAGACTAGGTCAAACGTAATTCTCAGCGGCTCTCTTTCTTTCTCTCTCTCTTTCTCGTGAAAGAGAGACAAACAACGAGCGTTACATAAAAATTCACCCCCCATTCACAGTGGCTTCTCTACCTCTGAAGGAATATTTTCATACTGCAAAATATATTTTCCACACGCGGACAAAGAAAAGAAAACAAAACGGGCGGGATTTCAGAGCGAGAGGAAGATCTTCCCGCTCGATCTGTTTTTTCTTTTCTTTACCTCCTTTTTCGTTTACCCTTTCACCGTTCCTTCCTCGCCGCCGTACCACCTCGAACTTTTCATTTTTTTCTTTTTTCCTCGTGCCTGGATGTGGGTGTCCCCGATATTTCGCTTTTCCCTTCGATCCTCCCCGCATTCGACGTCGGCGCAGCGCCGAGCGAACTTTTTGAATATCTAGCGGACTTCTCGCCGAGAGAGGGAAAGAGAGCGATACCTTTTATTTAAGACTGCGCCTTTATGATCGAACTGCTCCTTCGTTGCGGCAGTTCGATGTGACGCATAAGTTAATGACGTATTGATAGTTTTTTTATATTCGCGAGTCGGCGCTTGTTCGACGTCGCGAGAATGAAATCCCTTATTACTTCCCGGCCCTGATTGGTGGCATATATAAATGATAATATATAGAAAAATAAATAAATAATTATATATATATATCTGTATGTAAAGAGATATAGTAAGGTAGCTAGAGGGAGAGAGTGAGGGAGACAAAAGATATATATATATATATATGATGATATATTTTTATATATTGAGTGGGAGTATACATAGAATTCATTTATGAAGATAAATTCACAACGCCTACCCTGACTAGGGCTCTTCGTGGAGAAAACACTCGCGGTCTCTCATCCGGAGCACGACTTTATTGGATTCATATTTTGTACGCGAGCGCTACGCCGCTCCTAGGAACTTGGATACAGGAAGAAAGAGGGGCGGAGAAGGAGGAAAAGGAAGGAAAATGTGAAAAGAAACTATATTTTTTCTTTCCTTTTTCCTTCCGCTCTCATTCTCTCACTCCCTTATTCTCTCTCTCTTTCTCCCTCTCTCTTTCTCCCTCTCTCCCTCCCTCTCACTCTTACCCTCTTTCTCTTTTTATTCCGCTTGCACATTCAAAATACACAAATACACAATACAATTTACAATACAAATTTACTTTCTTTCTCTTTCAGCGTTCATGCACATAACGGACGCTCGGAGCTCCCGGGCCCTGGGCGCTCCCACTATCCGTGAAAGCCGCACACCGTTTCTTGTAGATGTGCAACATGAAATCCGACATGTTGCCGTACGGCTTGCGGCACAAATTGCACGTAAAGGGGTCGACGCGGCCGTGGTAGCTCATGTGCACGTCGTATACCATCTCGGGATACCTGTTGTTGCAGTGCGGGCACACGTAGTAATCCTCGCTGGGAAGGCAGCCGTACGCCTCCTCGCGCTTCCGGGCCGGTCCGGCGAAATCGTCCGGAGAGGACGATTGGAAAATATCCACTCTGGAAGAAGGAGAGGTGCGGTATGATGCAGCGCGATTGTCAGCGTGCTGAGTGAAACTTTCAAGGGTGAGTACTCTACGTGGGTGCTCTTTTCGGGTTCGCTTTTTTCCTGAAGGAGGACAGATTCCTCCTGTTCGAAAATGTTCAGTATTATTACTGCTGCTATATTGATCTCATTGGCTAAATGATAAATATTATTTTGACACGAATTTGAGGTAAGCGTATACACGCGATATTACAAATACGAAAATATTATTTTTTATTTTTCTTATCGTCCTTACATTTACGCATTTCCGAAAGACCTAATAGAAATGCGCGGAAAATAGAAAGCGGAATACAGAGAGGCTTGAAAATCCGGAAACGACTTATTGTTGCCGAAATAATTGGTTCCACGAGACTCAGATGTCTGGGACGAAACTTGATCGGAAAATTATACTGGATGGCAATGTACTCTGTGACCTTGAAAAATGGCCTTGGAATAACCCCTCAAGTTCGGATCTTTAGTTCGGAAGTTAAGAGGGTCAAATGTTGGCCTGCCACCAGCGTTACGCAATCGGCGTTACCGAATGGCCACCGCGAGAAGGCATTCTTGGATTACACAAAGGGTTATATGATCGGCTCGTTTCAAGGCAATCATGGGCAAAGTCTAACCAAGCAACCTGTGAACTGTCAGTTAACGCTGATGCCGCTGGCCGGTCACTAATTAACCTTTCTAGCTTCTGAACTAAAGGACACTAATTGGACATTATCATAGTGTTTTTTAAAAGTCCCGACGCCGTTTGTCAAAATCTGTAATAAAACGTGAGAGTGACCATCAGTTTTTTAAGGCCACCTTGACAAAGTCATACCACAAAATCATTTCAAGATCACAGAGATTGCTTTTTGGTAAAAATTCTATGAACATTGTAAGTCTCGTCCCATTTTCCTGCAAGACACATGATTTCGAAGGTAATCGGCCGTTCCCAGACTTTTAAACCATTCTGTATAAGTGTTTAAATATGTGTATGTGTGTATGT